TGATTATCGAACAATGAAATATATTTTGTTTTATGAAATACATTGAACTCTTGATGTTGACTTAAGTCAACGAAATTATCTTATAATAATCCGTGATTACCACACAATTAAACGCGTCTTGTTTTATAAAATCGCTCAAATAAGTATATTTAATTAAACGTTTTTTTTTACTTTTCTTATTTTGATCGTTTCTTCAATTAAGTATTTATAAAAATAGAAACCAGAAAGTTGAACATGACATTAAAATATTCATGAACATGAATATTAAAAATACATTCTTTTAACATATTTTTATCGACGTGCAGAATAAACATTCGTGTGCTACGTCGATATTTTTAAAATACACACATCGCAAAGTCCCTACTCTTCTTTTTTGCCGATCCGCCGACGAGTCATCGCTGACAATCGCTGAGAGAACGAATCGTTACCTCTCGGACATGCTGGAGCCGCCCTTGATACACCCTCGGATCAGAAAGGGGACCGAAATAACCCGCGTCGCGGACCCGCGCGAAAAGCAACATTTTCAGGCCCGTCCTAATGGTCTCTCGAGAACCCTTTTTTGCCGGGTTTGGACGCGCGAAGGTGTAAATTGGGTGGCGGCGGCGACAAGCAAGAGCCTCGCCTCGTTTCGGCGTGTTGAAAAAAAAATCACCTCTCACCAAAAGTCGTGTCAAAGATAATCGCGTTCGAATATCGCACAAATATCTTTTATCGAGCTCTCACTTGGTGCTCGATAAATAAAATAGCATAAATTATTACTACGCCGCTGAATTTCTGTTTCGGTAAAAGAAAGATGAGCTTGCTTTCTAACGAAGTTGCGATATGCGAAATGCGATAGTTAAAACATAACAAAATAAAATACGTCTCGATCTAATTATCTATAATAAATAACCTATTTATAAATTCGTATTGCAAAATATGATTCCTTTTTAACAACATCGCTGTCAATCTTATTCTTGTACAGTATTGACGTTAATATTTAATCTGCTATTTTTGCGCATTCAATAAGATAAATACAAAGACGGGATGATAATTCTGAAACAGCATTTGATAGTTTAAAGTAATATATGACGCAAATATTCGAGGGTCAAAGTAATTTCAATCGATTTGCCGGAACAGTGAACGGTTCTCATCGATAGTGATCAACGATTCAAGTATAAATTTAGCACCCCATGGCATGAGATCAGGCTGCTTGAATTAGAAAACATTGGCTATCGAAATATCGATATAAAGATCTTACTACGTGCAGAATCACCTGAGAGTTCTACGAATACGAGCCTTAAGCATGACTAATCTCGCGCGACAGAATTATTAATAACATTGCAGGCAAAGACACGTCCATAGTATCTCAATGCTTCCTCGATTTCTTTGCAACAATTATGGCATTAATATATACTTTATGTGCAGATCAATATCGTATCAAATCTTAAAAAGTTGTACGCGTAAAATCTCATGTGTATGTAGCAATTAAAGAAAATATATGGCAAATAAAAATAATAACGTAGAAATTAATTAATTAGTTCACACCAAAGAGATTCATCTGCTTTTATTATATATTTTTTTCCTTAGCCAGAATTTATGAATCAAGGTTATCTACAGAATGTGAGAAGAATCACCGCGTTCACGTCTCGTTAACTTAATCCGATGAAGAATTGACAATACGGTACTGTAAAAAATATAATATATTTCGGTGCGAACTATGTTCCTGACAGAATAGTTAATTATATAAATAAAATTATAATTATTCCGAATAATATACGGATATACAAAGTTCATGCTAAAAAATTGATTTATGCGGTCCAAGTTCTTGGACTTCTGATTGAAAAACCGATTATAAAATTTTCTATACAAATATAATATCTTTAAAACTAATTGCTTAGTGCTATTGAATAATATAAAAGAATTATGATATATAAAAAATTGCAAAACGCGCACAACATTCAATATTCTAAAATATATATTAATTTTTAAAAATATCTAAATTAAAAATTTAATCAGTCAAATTAGTCACAATATATGGTCTTAGAATTGTCAAGATTGTGGACAGAATATGGTCAGATAATTGTCCAAAAATATTATACTGCATCGGAAGTGATTTTGAATTATTGCTTTAATATATTCGAAAATGCACTTAATATTGAGAGAAAACCTGTTTTCTCAATTTCCCTTTGCACCTTGTCGAATTTTCTATGTAACAGAACAGTCAAACGAGCTTTCTACCTGATGTGAACCCTCAAAGGTGTAAGAGCGTGCGGCATTTCTTTCAAGTTAAATGTGCGAGAAAGAGATTGAGAAACGTGTGTGTGTGTGTGTGTGTGTGTGCCTAAAAGGCTCGTTTTAAAGATATCCTTCAAATTTTTACTGGTTTACGTATGTTTGCCCATTTGGAAAAATATACTTTGTCGTTCCGTGGGCATTATTGTCGCGTCACAATGTATATACAAAAACGCCCCTAAATCTCCGCATAATCGCCGGTAATATTTCTTTCACTGTCCCAAAAAAATCTTTATAAGATTTAAGTCTCGAAATTTCACGCCTTATTATAGATCTAGTTCTTACAGTATCCGACACAGGAACAATAAACTTTTCTCGTCTTTTCCTACATATTCCGACATATTATTCAAGATCCTGGAATTGGTGGGATCCTTAAGTAATCACGAAAAGTTCTAAATAATAATAGTAAATACAAAAATCATGAAATCATACTTGTGTCATACTTTATGTTATATTCATAGTAATCTTAATTTCATAGTTTTTCTATAATAAAATTTATATAAATATATATTTAAATTTAAAATTAAATATGCATACGCGATAATTGCAAAATAGTTCGAAAAAATTATTTTTAGAATCAACGCGAAAAATGGTTCACGAACACTGTCGAAATCGTTTCACTTTTCAAATGTTTACAAAAAAATTTAAATCACTCTTACTTTACGAACATTGTGTCGTGCTACCGTCGATACCTATAGTGTCAAATAGAATGTGAGACAAAAACAAACACGTCATGTCGAAACTCCCGAAATGTTATTAAAACCTAATCGCAAGAAAGTATAATATTTAACTCGAAAAATATGTGTAGAGAAAACATTTTTGAACTTCCCATGTGAGATGACTTTCTCTTTCTTGAAGTGCACAAAATATACTTTCAAAAATTGCCTACCTATTTTAGAATCATCCTGCATAACAATTGCTTTTTTCTGACGTTGGAAAGATTTTATCTTGTCAACTCGCAGTTCCTCACGTGCATGTGCTTAAAGTATAATCTCAGAATTCTTATGAGATACACGACAGTGATCCAAGCAGATTCCGGCCTCGGATTGGCGCGGCTCGATCGATTGCCGCGATGTAAAGTAAGGTGCAACCCACGTGCACACCGTGACATTCCAATCGTGACTTGCAATCTGCATTTGTAACTTCGTGTCTAGTCCGACTGATGTCCGATCTTTTACGCCTAGTCTCCTTTTAACGGCGCACGCGAGATGAATAGGAACTCGCTGAGCAAAGCCGCTCATTGAAAGTGCGATAATTACGGTACCGTTAGCTCATGTTTACATAATGACAGACTTTTTCAAACACAATGCTACTGTACGCTTTACTCACGTGTCGTTGTTTGTTAATTAAGAAGAAGTAATTTTTGAACATTACAGATCGATTATTGAGCAGAGAAATATGTATTATTTATAAAGCAGTTATCTTTAAATTTAAAAATTATTAATAATTCTTTATTACAAAGAAAATATTAAAAGATATCTGAATAGATATATGAATTGCATCATATATTTTATAACTTTGTTTTTCGTTCACAGAGTATAGCTTATTTTATTTAATTTAGTGCTTCTAAGCATAATAGAAAGAGATTCAGAATTTTTACTTCTGTTTGAATATAAGTTGAATTTGACTGATAAAGTGCTGATGCTTATCGTCGCTATAGCTTTCCCCACATGACAATCAATCGTATGAGTCATAATATTGAACTCGCATTATTCGTCATGAATGCATATTCGACTGTACTAGACGTAATGCGCATTTCGTAACAAGAAAATAAGAAACGATGGGAATGCGCGGACGATATCGCGCGGGCGTTTCTATGAATAAAATATGTTTGATCGATGAAAAAAGCAAGCAATATATTTCGAAACCGAAAGGATCTACCGACGGGAGCGATGCTGACGAACAGAATAAATCGCCCGCGATGTGCCTCACAAAAGGTTCACTGAACCACGACACGAGCAAAAATGTGTCATTACCGCGCAAATTACGATGCCGGTGCTTCCGTACGCATCCTGCGTCCCTCGGGATAATTGCCGTGAATTAACGCCGATCGATGGACAACCCACAGAAAGATGTTAACGATATACCGCGAATATTAATCTCGTTACGCTACATTTTTCAAAGCGCTACACTACACCGTGATTTTGGAAAGTTGAAAGAAGTGCTAAATAATACGCTTGCAAAAAATGGAATTGTTCTTTCAAACCGTTTCGAAATTGCGATTATCACAGAATCCAAAATACATTTAACATATACAGCCAATTTTGTGCTCATTGCGTGTAAATACAATCAATATTCTTCATATTATTGCAATTTTTATACAAAATTGTTCTGACTTGCGAATTTATCAAATTCGAAAAAGTAAATAGCGTAAATTTTGTTGAGAAAAATTTATATAACTTTTTTGGAAATAAAATCAGAAATGACGATTAAATATTTCAAATGTTCTAATTTGAACGATTCATGAATGGCAATTATTTCAATTGTGTTCTGGATACATAAAAAATGACCCATTATACAGAATCATCATGATACGCTTGCGGTTTATCTCGCTAATCAACTAATTCGCAGTTGAAGGGAAGCTCTAAACATCGATCGTCCTCGATTCGTCGGGGGTGCGGGCTTACACGTGGATTACAGAGTCGGACGCGTAATAATCCTTAACGGCACGTGACACCCGACTTACAGACGCTTCTGTATACATAAAGATTGAAAAGTACTCACTCTGACAGCTGGCGATGCCCGTAAGGATGATCAACAGCAGGATCCTCATCGACTCCATTTTCTCCGGAAATATTTCTGCAGCTGTCACAGCACACTTATTAACCCTCACTGTTTCAGTTCTAGGCAACGACGACTGCGGCTAGTCGGACGGACGAGTATAATCGCGTTTCACGAACTCGGCGAAATATCACAGCAAGATATTGCGAGATATACAAATCGCGAAGAACGCGCGCGCGAATCCGGAAAGAGGAAGCGAGCTTGCGAGCTGTCCTGAGTATATTTCGCTTCCTGTTTTATTTCTTTTTCTCTCTCTTTCTGCCTTCGCGAGGCGAAACGGAGCGTGCAGGCACTTTCCACGCTAATTTCACCGTGCAGGAGGTACCGTTCCGCGCTCGCGACCGACAACGAGCGGTGGCGTTACGCCGGTTTCCTCGATAACGGAACGACGACTGTCGTCCGAATTATCTCTCTCACGACGGAGACTCACCCTCTTTTTTCTCTCACTGCTAGTTTATAAGGGAGAAAAAAAACCGTAACGCAGTCTCGCGATTCATGCGTAAGAGTTGCTCTCTCTCGCGGGGAGGATGACAGCACGTCGAAAAGCCGGCTGGTTGACACGCGCCGTCAGCTTACGAAGAGAATACAACCGCACGGCACAGCGGCTCGCGAGCGAATGCCACCGAGTGCGCTGCTCTTCCGAGTTCCGTGTCGGCATAGGTGCGCGTCCGCTAAATCCCCTTCTCTACCATTCTTCCGCCGGCCGGCCGGCGTCGTCGTCTTGCTTAGTCGTGCGTTCGCACTCGTCTCTGTTTCCCCACCAAGAATGCTGAGCGCGTGTGCGGTCGACGCATCAATTATGTCTGAATCAGTGTCGTTAAGAGGGTTTTCGGGAAATTTCTATTCATCCGGTTTCAAAACACTTTCGGCTTCAAATTTTTCGCTCAGAAAAATCTTGTAATGAACATGTAAACGCATTCTTATACAGACGTTGAAAATATATGTATTGTCAATGGAAAGAGATATTTCAACAGTCAGATAAATTGTCGAGTATATAAACATTACGATACTGCACGGTTACGTTGGTGGAATGTAATCGTAACAATTCTGGATAACGATAAGATATGCAACTTAAATCCGCAAGTGTCATGCACCGCATGCGGTGTCTCTCAGATTACATTTTTACACTCCAGTTTATCTTAGATTGCATTATTGCAGTGTATGATAAAAAATTTCAGTTACAGAATTAAATTACACTGACGAGCACAACTGCCGAGTGATAAACACAAAAGATAAATTTCTCTAAATCTATATAAAGTTCTTAACGACGACTTAACGAGTGTGTCCACCGTACAAAGTCCATGAGTATCAATTGTGTCAAAACATCCAAATATATTTCTGATAGAACTACAATTAGTACTTTTAAATTTAAGGAGATTAAATTTATATATTTCTGAAAATGTTTTCAAAGCAATCATCTATTAAAATTGGGCCTCTGTGAAAAAAACATCCTGTTGAATGTCCTCGAATGTACTTATATGCAAGTATATGATTATAACACGATTAATGTATTCCGCAATGCACAATCGCAATTGATAATCAGTATCACTCTGAATTTCCTACACACTTCGCATAGGAAATCAGAAGTGTGACAGGAAATCATAATTGCGATTTATAAAAATTAATTACAATGTTGCGTTGTAATGAATGTACAATTAATTTAACATCGACGATACTTGAGATTGAAGTGATTAGAATTACTATGATTATTATTTTTATATCTAATCATTAAAGACAGCGTAGATCAAAGACATATATGTTTGTTCGCTTCTATTAGAAGTTTTAATATATTGCTCATTATATTCACATTATTCACAATTAAAAAATGATAAGATACATATTTCAAAGAAATGTTTTTGTTTAAATAAAAATTTATTAAAGTTAGTTATAAATAAATATAATCTTCGATCAATTCAATTTTAAAAAATTTTTCTGTCTGAACAATTTATAGCTTCCGTCTGAGTAAACTCTACTTGATGATATATTGATGGTTCCGTTAAATGTTTTGAAAAACAAGTTGCCCACACGGTATGTAAAACTGGATTTACCAACTCATTTTAGAGAAAAAATATTTCCAGTGGAAATATCGCGCTTGTATCTATCGATGACAGACAGTGCAACAAGAGAGAAGATATTTGGCTCGAGTCCAGCTAGTTCTCACTCACAATCAGCAGTGAATACATCCGACTTGTAATTCGAGTAAACAAAATAATTATAATGCAGTTCTATTTTTATCCGCCCATTATTAGTATAAAAAATTAGTTCCAACATGTAAGACGTATATTTAATACACAATAGCATATTTTGCATAATTTGTAATTCATGAATCGAAAAATAAAGTGTAAATTTGCACATAATTATGCGACTAACATTTACAACAAATACAAATGAAAGTACTTTCTTTTATGTATATTTTCAGAAGGAATGCATTATAAATGGTTATTATGTATACAAAGATTATCTTATTATAGCATCTCGATGCTGAATCAGATGGCTCAGGTACGTTTAGTACCCAACAACGTTGGGTACAGAAGCCCAGAGAATGAATGAACGGATCGGTGAATGAAAATACCGGACGCATGCGTATGGGGGGCTTCAGATTCCATTCTCATTCTGTCTGATACCAGTCCATTCTCATTCTCTCAACCCCTTCGATATGCCTTTAACCGTGAACAAACAACGAGATCGGAATTCATAAAGATCCTTCCGCTGTCAAGCCACATTTCCTACGCAATCTTATTTTTAACCTATAACTGATAACACCCCCTAAAAAAATAAACATCACTCCCCTCAATGATGTTTAACAAGTTGATGAGAGTTTTATAGAAAACTAGATGCTGTTTTATAGAAAATCGTATCAAGATTAGGATCGACAATGATCCGAGATAATTCTACAAAGTTAGATATTGTATTTCCTCCCAAAAAAAGGAAGAGAAAGCAACAATTGCACCGGACGGATGGAGATGTTATCATAGCGTTGAGCAATTTATCATTCCCCGACGTCTTTGTCGAAGTGGACTTTTGAATATTTCTCGGAAAAGATTTTAGGAAACGCAAGTAGCTTGTTAGTATTCAACGGAGAATTATGCGACGCGCGGCGGCTACCTAAATTTATATTCCAACCCGATATTCATCAGAGAGATTCTTATTATAGATACTTATATTCACGATAAAGAAACAGTTGTCAAAGAACAAAACATCGTCAAAGAAGTGTAAAGAATCATACAAATTTCATTATCATTTTCATCACTCGCTTTATATCATATTGCACTTGGCAACAACCGCATCTGCGCGTAGTCCCCCCCCACTGTAGTCCCGACAACAGGATCTTTCCTGTCTCCTATGAAACCGGTGAAACTCGACGAGACTACAAAGTGCTTTATGTTGGCATTCGTAAGAAAAGGCAAAGGACTGGAAACTCACATAACGATTGCAATAGCAGATTAAGGTAAAGCTAAGCCTGTGAAACGAACAAGCGCCGGTCCCTTCTTCGCTCGAAACTGACTGCTAAAGGCTAAAGAACGCATACTGTTGAATATTGAACACGCAGTCCCCTTGGAATGTCATTCTTCGCGGTTGACCAACACAACATAATTCCTATCATTGTGAGACGGAAGCCCTCAGAGTGCCCCATTTCGAACCTTCCGATGTATCCAATTTCGTACCTATGTGAGCTAAACAAAAGTTTCCGGCATTGAAACGGCTCTGTACCGCAATTCTGATAGAAACGTATTTCTTTATTACATCACTTGTTGTCTTTCACCAATAAATCAAATACAGCAAACCGTGTAATCCGTGAGAATCAAATAATTTTAAATATTGTTTGTAATTTGAAATAACCGTTACGTTACAAGAAAACTATTACTTATTTTTATTTTTTGTAAGAAATAATCTTAGAAATTCTCTGTAGGAAATTATTTGTATATTCTCTCAGAAAATGTTACGATAATTCACATAATAATGATCTAGTAAATGTATAATTTATATAAATTTATGAATTTTTATATACTACATAATTTTTAATAAGTCAAAATATAAAAATTTCTAGAAATAAATCTAAAATATATCAAAAATTTAAGTGCCGCTGAAAGAGAGAGAGAGAGAGAGAGAGAGAGAGAGAGAGAGAGATAGATAGAGAGAGAGAGAGAGAGAGTAGAGAGAGAGAGAGTAGAGTACGAGAGAGAGAGAGAGAGAGAGAGAGAGAGAGAGAGAGAGAGAGAGAGAGAGAGTTGGAGGTGTATTGCAGAATCATTAAATTACATTGCAAATTCACGAATTACATCGAAAGATTGTCATTTTACTTATCTGATCAGTTCTTGCTTTTAAACGCGACACTCACTAATTGCGATTTTTATCTTGTATCGCCATCATTACCCTGACGTGATTATATCACTATTATTATTTAAATTAAATAGAAAACGTCATTAGCAGTGAATAATGGGAATCATTAAGTTGGCTAATTGCAACGACATTGACGAGAAGACGCAGTCCATAAATTGGACTTTAAATCACATTATCAAACGTTTTGTTAATAATATACACTAAAAAAATACTAATCATATATTTATGTATTATATATGTTCAGAAAAATAACTAGAATTTATTTCTGAAATAAATCTCTTTTCTCCTGCCTCATCAAGTATATATCTCTCTAAAATCAGTCTGCAAAATAAGTAATTGTTTTATTAATATTTATATATTACAATGTTTTTAAACAAAATTTTCCTTGGAATTCTTATATTAACAATGCAATAATTTTTATCCCGTGATTTGTTTATGGAATTTATTAGAGATATAAATATAAATTTTAAAAAGATATGCATTGAAATGAATGTGCACGCACATTAGGTGATAAAATTTTTCAGTTCTAACACATTTTGTGAAAACATCCTCCACAGCGCCTTAGAAAATTCCAAAAAAAAAACTTACAAACACACGCAAAAGATAACTATCAGCTAAACGTGACAAAATACTGACGATGGCATGCTGTGCGTAACAAATATACCTGTCACTTGGATCCTCACATTGCTATTTTTCCACCTTTTCCTTTAATCTCTTAATTTCTCTTAATCTCTTAATCTCTTTCCTTCGTTCGGTAGAAAATAATAAAAAAACATGTGATTATTGAAAAATCTATACAACGGATGACTAATGCTTTACGCCAATAGCTCAAAATCTAGTTTCTATTGAAACGATTATTATATTAAATCTGTAAATAGACCGTTCTGTGTAACAAGCCAGATTAAACCATCGAACAATGGAGCCTTTTCGATATTTTTACCTAAAACAATAAACTTACTGATTCCGTGAGTTATGGTTTACACAGCATTTGTATTAAATTAAGAAAAAATGACAGAAATAAAAAGAAGAAAAAGAGACGGAAATATGTTCAATATTATGTGCAAATTCTATCAATTATGCTGTGTGGTTTAATTCTAACAGAACAACAATAAATTTTTGACTGTATTATGTGCAAAATATATATAATAAATTTTGTTAATTATGTAAAATAGATTGTATATAATTAACTTTTAGCATAAAATTTGTAAAATTGTTTCTGCAAGTAATAAAAAAGTTAAAACAAAGAGCTCTTGTGTATCTAACATTCAATTTTATTTTTTAAATCAAAGAGAATTTGAATAGATTTGAAACATTTATCTCTAAAATCAAAATTTTCTAAAATGTAGCCTAAGATATACAAAATGAGATTTCTATTCACACATGCTGTGAAGTTAACACGCCTACTTTCAATTGTAAATTCTTAGTAAATGGTTGGAGAGCTAAAGTTGAGACTAAAGCACTAAACAAACATCTGAATAGTACTAAATTTTACTATAGATCCATTTCAAGTTTTTTGTGATGAGAGTGCAAGTTTCACAAACACATTTTCTATTCGGTCCCTCCAAAGGATAATTTATTTTATGACATCTAAACAGACACTTGATGTTATAATGATCTTATCTATGACTGCGGGACTCGACTTGCCACTTTGGTTTACGGTTTATCAGACGGGTTCACTTAATTACAAAGGGCAGGACAGTGTAAACAGTCGGTCAGTTCTGGAAGACCGCAAGCCTCGTACGGCATCTGTTACGCGCGTTCCGACAGGCTTTATCTAAATTGTTTTGGCGCTCTCTTAGCCTCATTAAATCGGTAAGATTGAAATAATCAGATTGGACGAGTTTGTGCTCAATTATACGCGTGCCGCAGACAGGCCATAGGCCTTAGGGTCTCACGAGGGTTAAAAGTGGACGTAGGCGGGCCGGGGTCTAATTCAGAGGCCCGCGGCTTCCACCTGGTTTTCTCATTATTGTTGGGGCTTATGCACCCGTAGCATATTTGTGCCCATAATCCATAAAAGAAACATTATCCGGATGAGGTTACACCCGGCATTTTCGTACAATCGGATGCATTAATGGATACGCTTACATTCAACATTTAAAATTTTTGTGATATTTAAAAAAACATCTTTTTCCTTTTTATAAGATTAATTGTATATTTTATAAAAATCAATTGTGTTCAATATCACTTCATGCAAAAGTAAAATAAAATTGTATCTTGTGAAATATTTTTGTAAATGCGGACGTATCAAATACTATTAATACATCTAATTATACAAAAAAGTAATAAGCGGTTTTCTGTGTGATCTAATTTTGTACATATTTGGATAAATATTGCTTTGTAAATGACATACTAGCTTTCAAGCGTTTATATAAAAATATATATTCATTAGATTCAATTTAAGATATTTGAAGAAATGGCAATAAAGTATGTGTATGCATTAGAGGATTACAACTCACACATTGGAAAAACACTGTTTCTTTTTTTGAATAATTCTAAAAAGGCAAATAATATTGTAATTTACTCACCAAGCGATGTCTTGCCAGTTGTAACTCATTGCAACTCGATGTCCTGCCAGTTGTAACCAATTGTAACTCGATATTCCTCAGATAATCCATCCTTTGTTATCTGTTGAGAAAAATAACCTTATTCCAATGCACACACTTATATGATACTACTATTTTTGCAATACAACCAAGCAATTCATATGGCATTCCCGAATTTTACAAAACGTAATGCATTTTCAATGCAAAAAATACACTTCCAAAAATAAATATCAAGCACGAAGCATTCTAGTCATTGAAAAAAGTAAGTATTGTAAGAGAATATTCGATGGAGCAACATCACGAGTTACAAAATACTGAACACGAACATCGTCGAAAGAACTAATTATCATTCACCTTTATCATTGTCGATTGGCAATGCACTCGACACTCTCAATGTATTCACAGACAAACATGATCGTCCATAACTTTGCTCGACACTCCCGTTACGTTCAAGATACATTCAAAAAATTTGAGACAGAAGCAACTTCATACCGACGCTCAAAGATTCCACGAAACGATAACCGACGCTCGAAGATTTTACAAAGCCATAACCGCGCAGCGAAAAAGGCGGGATTAGCTACACAATGTCGAAATAATAGGTTAGAAAACGGCTCCGGTTAAAGATAGATCAAGAATACGCGTTGATTGACTCTTTACGGTAATTTCCTGTTGTTTTTAAGATAAAAAGTTCAAAAGGCGCAGCAGATTTGCATTGCTGCTTGAAAATTCGATGAGTAATGGCCACTATGATGCAAGAATGCGTAAGCGCCATTATTGCTCTTAATGTTAAAAGACTAGTAATCGTGACCATGCGCTAATAAACACTACCTGACAATCGCCCATTGTTGAATTCGATATTACGAATACTTGATTGCGTGTAGAATTCATTTCGAAGGAGGAAGAACGTGCGCGAAACACAGGACGACGTTAATTCACGTCCGACATCTTCGCCTTGAAGTAATTCACTATTATTCGTGACCGCGAAATAAATCACGTGACGTATACGTCACATTGATCATGAGATTGCGTTCAAATTTCTTACAAAATACCCCGCGAATTATGTTCATGTCAAAATCATATATATTGACGAATTATCATTAATCTGCATTCTGTTTCTTATTTCGTAACGTATCTCAGAATAAATAATAGAAAATACATCAATTTATATCTTTTTTTGTTGCATATATAATATGGATTTCTTAAATTACTTTGGAATAGTACTGCGTCATAACTCATAAACAATTCGAGGAATTCGAAATGACCTTGTTTTTCGATGATTCGGACGTCCTTGTAGCTCGATTGGATTCTTCCGGTGGGCCACATTAAAAATGATCCCCTTAATTTGGATGGGAAAAAATACCAAACATCTCGCTTTGTGTGGCACATTTTTCCAAGAATTTATAGGACATGTGCGAATGTTAATCGACGAGACGCAACCTGATATGCCAATTATACCTTATTGCGAATGTACTGTCGCGAAATATTATGTGCCGTGACTTTTACACTAATTAAGGAACTCGCTCGCTGCATCTGTAATTGAGCAGTTACGAATAAGCTTGAATAAATCCACAAGCGCAAGCAATTACCAGCAATCCCACGAAAATCAGCAAATGGTCAAACGCATTTTGTTGATTTTTTATCTGAAATTTTGATTTTTTTTTGTTTATCTCTGTACTCTAACTTTTAAAAACGCATTATTTTCTACACTTGTTATTAATACTTTTTCTGTATTATAAAAATTACATTTTTTACATTGTAATTTTATGTTTAGATAGTAATATTATTCATAAAAATGTATTATTGCTAATAAAAATGTATTAAATTATATTATAATTATTAATAAATAATAACATAATAAGAGAAAAAATAATAGAAACATTAAACTAAAATTATTAAAAAATATTGTACATAAAATATAAAAAATTATACTTTCACAAATATATAATTTTAACTTCCGATATATTTTATATATTGTGATAATATAGTTCTTCTAAATTATGAAAAAAAATGACAGTAACTTGCTTCTTTTTATATTTGTTCAATACTTTTTGTTTGCAGATAGAAAAAGTAATAATTATAAACGAGACAAATTTTTTACTTGGTACTTCTTACTTGTTGAGACGCAATCTATCGTGTTCCTTTTTATTCACATTGTTTATTACGTTTAGCTCACAGCATAGTACTCCATAACTTTGCGAATTTATGAGTCATACTCGCTGACAGTCAACTAAGTGTATAAGACCAGGCTGAAAAAAAGCAATTTACAGTAACCAATACCACAAATAAATTAGTACTACTAGTTTTAATTTATTCCGATACCTGCGTGAAAAATTAATGGTGAAGTCATGGAATGTATTAAATTTTTGATATCGTCATATTACATCATTTGTTACTAACATTATTTATACAGATTGTAGTTTCATAGACTTGCATATACATAAATTGATATTACAATATATTATAGTTTGAAGCCCCAAGAAAATTTCCGAATTTTCCCAGGGCTTCAAACTATACATATTATGAATTTCACAATAAAAATATAAGTTAATTTTTCTATAATTTTAAACACAAAATATAATTTAAATAGAAATATTTCATTACAATCGTACAATGACGATACTTACAATTAGTTATTACAATTAATTACTATTATTAATTTCTGATATTTGCTATTATTTAATTAAAGTTGAATCCTTTAATTTTAGATAAATCTGTTATAACAAAAGCCTAGCATCTCATAATTAATTATCAAAATTATTATGTACTTACTATTACAAAATTACGAAAAAATTCTATTCCGCTTCTTTACATGTTTTATGGTCCAAGCATACATCGTAGCAGCACTTTTCCGACTCACTGCACTCGTGATCGCTTTCGCAAAATTCAGGCGGCTTGTACCACTCATAAGTCCTAGGACATTCAGCTCTCAAAGGTGGACAGTGCTTTTTAGGCTTCATGACCTCATGCCAAGGATGTTCAACGTGTGGTTCTTCAACACCAAACCAGAACCACGGGAAGAAGAACGTATGCCAGCCATGTTCTGACCAAAAGTCGGTTTTTCCACTTGGGCAACAATAATAACGATGATCATCCATCTTGCACCAATACTTGCAAGACTTCATATAAGCTTTTGCTAGGATGATAAATAACAACAGAAGGCACAATGAGCTCCAACGCATCCTGAAGCGATTCTAAAAATAATAATTGATATAACTGAAAACAAGTTGTTACAGTGTTAATTCTATCTTGTACTTAAATAATAAAAATAAGTTTTTAAAATATATCAATTATTTATAGTACAATAGTATAATAATAATTTTTACTTATGTTTCTATTCTGTTGAATAATTATGCACAAATTTGTTTTAAAATCGATGATAATAATCTTATATGTATAGTACTTCTATAAAATACTTTTATTTAAAAATGCAATAAATTACTATACAAAATACACAAATTGTGAATAAAAATCTTCCTTGTTTAAAATATGAATTACTTGATACATATAAAAGATATATATTTTATTGTAAAAATTTTATTCTGAGATTTCACTCTAGGTTTATACTTACTCACAGCTCGACTGTTTGCAATCTAACCGAGGACAGCTTCTCGTTTAGCATGTCTTATAAGAAGAAACACGCCCCTACTTGGAGAAGAGGATTGTAAATTGTGCAACGCCTCCAATACGTCCATCATCGCCGACGAGTGAAGTATGCTTTACTTATTTGTACTCGATTTCACATGTCAACTTTGTTAAGTCTTCTCTCCTATGGTCATTTGAAAAAATGTCAGGAAACATCAGAAACAAAGGACAAGTCACGTTCGAGTTAGAATGTTGCATAGAGCAGTCAGGGTCGAATTTACAAAGTAAACAATATAATATTAAGTCTTAAGTTTATTATATATAGTTAAATTATATAATCTCTATAACTTATACCAAGTTATCTACCTGGTTTATTTTTTAAATTTATGTTTCATTAATTACTTACCAATAGCTAAATATATAAATATAAAAAGAATAACAACTTGTCTCTAAAAATTGTAATTTATCATGAAAGTCCTTGAAGTGGAAATTTCGAAATTTTTTATAATTAATGATTATGATTTTTTACCTTAACCTCCAAAATATATGCATGCGACCCTGAGAATAATGAAGTTGCATGAGTGTGTATGAATATGCGCAACTAGTCAAGCGATTGTCACGCAAAAGTTTTCTTCGCAAGATTGGCTGGAAAAACCGCCTGCAAGACATTGACATAATTATGGGCCACAATCTACATCTGAAAAATTACATAGCAGCATTTCCTTGACATTCTGTTTTGAAGTGGCACAATTTTGTAGAAAATAGGTCCTCTATCATACGCACTTTTTTATACTATCTGCATCTAAAATGAAATAAGTATATACTCTATGTACAAAATATACAATAATTATTAGATAATATAATGTAAAAATAATATTAATTATTCGTTTTCTTCAGTAATATTAACAACGAGGTTATTTTAACATCGACTTATTTCCATAAAATTCATATGCCATTTCACGATAAACGACTTGATTTGCAACGCGGATTAGAAACTAGAAACGCGAGTGGCACCCTGCTGAACTAACAATCGTCGGCCAATCAGCGAGGTGCATTTCAAACAGTTAATAAACGACTTCTGAATCGGTGGTATAGGTCATGTTGCCTATCGTCGAAATTATCATCGAAAATCAACATCGAGAGCTGGAATTACGTGTGAGTAAACGATCAACAGCTAAAACTCGTTTCGCGGAGTGCGTGATAATGTTCGCGGCATGTTTCGTGCGCGATTAATGATGAAAAAGGCAAGCGAAATCAGGAGATATTTCGGGTGGGTTGTAGCTGCAAGGTACAAGGGAATACTTACATTAGAAATATACAGTCTTTTAAATGCTCCGACAAATAGTGTAATGATAATAGCAACGGTATTATATTTCAACACTGATTTATTTCTATATAAACTAAGAAAGGAACAATGGAATTCATATGCTATTTCGCAATTGAACGACTTGAAATTGCAGCGCATAAACGCGAGCCCGGCCAAATATTCGGCCAATTAGCGACGCGCATTTTGAATAACGAGTTAATTGAGACGCATCATGAATCAGCAGTTTTCACAAGCGAGTCGTTTTGTTTAAATAATTGTCGAAAGTGTGTTGAGCGTCGAAAATGAGTAAGTCATCAGGTATGAGTGAGTGATAATTCGGTAGAACTCATTTCGCGGAGTGCGTGATAGTGTTTGCAATGTGTTTTGTGTGGAATTAGTGACGAAGAAAGCCGAAAGAAGAACAATGTTCCGGGAGGGAGTAGCTGCGAATTTTGGAGCTTTGCAATGCAGGAAATGGAAAAATACTACCCAGGGATATGCATAGGTAAGTACTCTGCCAGTGATGTTATCCTCGAATTTTATTCTTTCGAAAGTCAACAGCATATATATTTACATCGAAATTATTGGTTTTACCACTTGTTATGCCGACTCTAAACAAAACGCCATTCGTCATAGTTGAACAAATACTCTAATAAATTTCGAATTTAGGTAGAGCCCATCAGACAAAGCCTTTATTATAATGTTCTGCTTGGCCGTATGAATTTAAATTGAACACTAATCACTTAGCAAGAGCTATAGCGATAGATTATAATTTTCTCTTTCTCGGTCAGTATCATTAACAAACGGCCAAGTGGCATATCATATTAGCGCCATCGGTTGGACTTTGCTTAAAGTTCGTTCTCAATAAATGCCAAACAGTGTGCTAGGTTAGGTTCTCCAGTGTCTTCGTTGAAAGAAAATGAAGTATTGAGATATATTGTTTGAGATATATTTTTGTTTTATGAGATTCTAATGATATCTTTGCAATTATTCTAATATGTATTATAATCAATACGATCTACTTATATGTGATATTACATATATATATTGTATATTATACATGGATATTATAATTTGCAATATTATATTTAATTGATGAATGGACACATCATATGGAGTCCAGTAAGCTACTTTCTTGCTGTTAAATTTGCGAAGAGTTAAAATATTTCATTGGGCTGGATAAAAATCATTTTTACAACGGTTATCTTACTTTATTTTGACTGCAAATCAGCAATTGCTGCAATTATTTTGCTTGCTTAGTGCACGTTTGTTAACTCTACATAATACAATATTATTCTTAATTTAGACACGGGTATCAAGAATTTCAATACTTAATGAAATACTTTTTGATGTACAATGATTCAGGATCTTATGTTAGTGATAAAGATTGTGCTTATGCATCTAATATAAAAATAGTTGTGAGATACTGCATTTGATTCTAACAATGATACTTAATGATATATTACCAGAAAATAAGTATAATTGCTATATGTTTATATACTTAGAAAATATGTAATATCTTAATATATACTTATATATTACACAACAATAATAACAAAATACTATATTCAGTATACATAGCTCACATAATGTCATGAATTTATATCTTAAAAAGACATTTTTGTCTGGAATACTTCTATGTTTTTAAAACCAAAACACTTTTTACTACATTTTCTTCCTATTTCTAATATTTTTTAAGATATATGATTATTACATTACAAAAAATAATGTAATATATAATTGTAATCTTAAAAAATTAATACGGAAAACCCCTTTGCTATGTTTTTTATCTCATTTTTTCTTATTTTCTAAACAATGCAAGGAAAATCTGAGTTATAAATCATATATACATGTTTCTTATCTTTTGTTTGTCAATTTAAAAATAAATAGAAACTAGTTATTTTGAATTTATAATCAAATACAATAACAGATTTCATAAAAATCTCACTGCTTTATGAAATAGTTATACAATGCAATCGTGGCACATGTGCTACATAGCAATTATATTTTGACTATTACAAATTACATGTATAGCTTTACACACAAATTTACAATGATAGAAACAACAAAGTAAAATTGCTGTCTTATTGTGCTTTTATACAGTGCTCTCAATTAATAGATGACATTCTTAATTAATTTGTACAGCCTTGCTCATAGTAACATTTATATTTCACAACTGACCGTTTGAGTAGCAAGGAAGAAAAAAAATTGAGTGCTCGATACAAAAAGAAACATTTGCTACAGATACTGTAGAATACTTGTTACTAAGCTAATATCAGCTTATATAAATATGAATATTTCTTTTTTTGGTTTTGGTTGTCGTTCCATTGTTAATTCTTTTATTATCATATCACAATACCATAGATAAAATATTAGAATTCTGTTTTACGTTTAAAATTGGCCATTTGCAGATTAATTATAAAACCCTGAGTAGTCACTAAATTAAAGAAGTACATAATAACTAGCTTCACATAGTTAGAGAATCTAAATAAATATAGTTCAGGTATTTGCAGAATACTTTGCTGGCAAACATTTTTCTTTTTGCTAATATATCCGCACAAAATAAATTTTATGATTATAATTCAATGCTTTTTAACATTATTATTCTTAATGCTATTTTTAATATAATAGTAGGATACATATTTAACACTATAACACATTTTTATCGGTGGTCTTTTTTATCTTTAGCAGAGTAATAAGTTTCATATCTCATTAAATATTATTCAATAATTCACAACTCCTAATTAGCATCTTTACGATTAACATTGAATCTAAATATATCAGCATTTGTGTATAAGAATGGAATAGCCAACATCATTTGCAGTAATAATTTTGAAATTCATAAAAAAATATGCATCTTTATGAATTGCATTTGTATGGTTGCAATACTACAAACTATATACAATTCATTCATGTTGAGGTATAATATAGTCTATATTATTTTCATACAATTGGATTTAGAAGTATTGAATTAAAAATAAAATTAGTGAGAATTAGAAGAAGCTAATTTCAGTAAAAGTATTTATTGGCAAATGATTTCTTTTCATTTTTGATTAACATTCCATGATTCATAATTTAATCTACTTTTATCATTTTAATTAAAATTGCTAACAATAAGCCAAATAAAGTTATATCATTAAAAAAATTGAAGAAAAAGAATTATTTTATTCTTACATCAATAACTTGTAATAAATATAAAGGTACTTTGCAATACTCGCTGTATGATATAATGAAAAATATTCTTGAATCTTTAGACACAAAGTTACCTACATTTTTCCAAACTACAGAGCAACATTAGAAATAATTGAATATAAAATTATCACAATTCAACAATATTTTGAATTCATAAAATCTAGTAGCTTCCTAGAGTAAAGAATTTTATTCTACGTAGCAATTAAATTTCTTAGTCTCTTGCCATGTATAAGAAAACAGGAGCTTTAAAGATATGACATCTATTCTGAATGCTGATGCATACAATTTCAATTAAAATTTTATGGAAAGAATTTAACTAACTTATGCGGAAAATATTTTTCATCCCATAGAAAAATAAATACATTCTGTCGATTTACCTCCCAATACACTCGACTCCATAGTTATCATGTATGACTAAGGCCTCGTACTCTAGGTAGGGCATCTCTTGGCCGTTCAGCGGTATGTAACATACCTGATGATTTGGTTGTATCTTTCCGATGTGATAGATCCCCTCGAGCAATACTCTACCGATGAACAGAGCGTAACCGTCCTCAGTTTCGCCGGCTGGTAGAGCATGCAGAGGCACGCTACCCTCCCATGATTTCACCCAGTTCACGTCCTTGCCACACAGCACTTGGAAATCACGCTTCTCATGAACATTGCCGCCCCATACGAGTGTGCAGACATTTTCACGGATGCCGCCCGGTGTCACAGTTCCTTCGTGATGTGCCCGACCTACGTACAGACCATCCTCAGAGGCCATCACTGCGTTTTGAGGCAGTCCGATCGCCTCGCTAAAATCCACCCAGAAATGGCATGTATCCACCAGTTGCTGTCTGATGGCTGACGACGTAAACTGGCACTCTAATATAAATTGTTTTTATTAACAATGATATACAATACCAGTTATCGTTATTTCTCCTCGTACAGAATTTTGATTAATCGTAAGATGTTAGGGATTTATAGATCAAGAAGTGTCAATTTTGAAAATATAAGAATGAGTTAATGTACCTTCGATTATCCATTCTCCAGTAGCACCCCATGCAGTACTAAATCCTACATAATTTATAACAAACGGACTTCTGTCTTTATAAGACATAAATGACTCATCAAAATCATGCACATCTTCGCAATTAACACTTAACAATCCATCGCAAGACCATCTGTAAAGCAGAAAACAATTAAAATGAGGGATCCATAGGATCATGTACATATAACTTTCATAATTTTCTTACTGTATAAAAATATCACACATCTCGTCAGATTTCAATATATCTCTAGTCTCTGCTTCTGCCACATCTGGCTCGGTATTATTTCTTTTTATAGCTGACATAGTATTTCCCCATCCTCCGATAATAATCTAAAACAAAATTAATGTAAGATTTACAATATATGATTCAGATACAAATAAACATGCAAATAAATTGTATAAATTAACAAGACAACAAAGTAATATACCTCGTATACATTAGAGTCGCTACCAAGATGCGTTCGTAGAGCAATCCTTGCATCATGACTAGCTTTAATACCTATACTGATGCTATTTTTTGTGATCGGTATATAACGATAGTCGAGACTGTCCGCTGTAGTAATACGAACTAAAATAAATCATTGGTTAATTGGTTACAATTGGGAGGATAAAAAACACAAAATATATAATAATTTCTGTCTTGAAAAATTGCTAACTTTTTGTATTACACTAGAGAAATCTTTAACCGATTATTGGATACAATTATAATTGTATAATCATTGACTTACGCGGGCTCATTTTGCGAAAAGCCTAGAACTCCTCTGATACGTACGAATCAATAAAAAAAATGATTCATACTAGTCATATATCGGTCGCATTCACGCGATGCCGAGCCTCCCGTCTAAATTTCCAAATCGTTATCTCTCATTATCTCAAATCTTGTATCACTTAAAACAAACAAGAAAAATCATATTCGAATCTCGCATACCAATAAATCGCACGCTATCGATGATTAAGATACAACGTTAGGAATACAAAGTGACCTTTCTGAGTTCATTCTCCGCTTAATTCACCCGAGCGGTATGAATCTCATATCAATGTATTTATATACAGATATAAATATGCAGATAAAGAACGTTAACGTAAGGAAATACATTAATGCAGTCCTCACGAGGAATAATCGTAAATTTTCGTTTCGGAATGTCAGGTCGAAGTGATATGTCAGAATATTGCATCTGAGATTGTGCAAACGATACAACGAAACAGTGAGATTCGAACACGTGCACAGCCGTCGACAGAACTATCGAAATATCAAACGTTATAATCACTCGTTCGAGAATCTGATTTGCTACGATGAAATTCGCATGTTTACAACTCACATGTTTATAATTCACTCAAAGGCATGACAGCTTGGGTGTATGCGTGTTTCGGTACTGCTTGTCGGAATTGCTTGCGATGCGACAAACGAGTGAACGCCTTTATCTGCTGCCAATATCGACGAGATACGATCAAATGATCGTCGTGTTGAGAATTACGAGTTCCACGATCCCGTGTTCATATCTTACACGGCGGACATCTCACTGTTGTCAGAATGCCAAGAATGTCGCTACTTCATCGACGTATCGATACTTTCATTTCGATGTCTCAACGATAACATAGCATCGATACTATTTTTTTCTCGCTCGGTACTGTTATAAAATTATCAATTATTTTTGTCAATATAGCATTTGCTTGGAAATATGTCAATCATTAATTAATTTGATGATGTTGAATTGTTGATAGTGTTTATATATTTGAAATAATACTCCCAAATATGGTTCTCAAATGTGCGATATATTGCGCGCCAAATTAAATTCAGAATATTCCCCGAAGAATAAAATTACAATTACTTCAAACACTTACGATACTCGTTTAAAGATACTATCGTGTCGGTCGTGTTTCTCGAAGGTCAAGATTTTACTTACATTAGCATCAAAGAGAGTTGCATGTTTGGCATTAATTGTACTCAACTTTCCATTCTCATTTTACTTTCTGTGACATGCACACAGCATTTACATAGTGTCATAAAAAGGCAATGACTTATTCAATTCTTGAGAAACTTAATTTAATTGTATTTAATAATAATAATAATAATAATAGCACCATGACAATTAAAGCCATTAAAACAAGTTTCTTAAAATTTAATTGCTTAAATTTATTTTAATTATATATAAAAATGTTTGAAATATGATTCTTTTTTCCTATTTTACTTTGTTAACGTTAAATTTAATATTACGTACATATTTTTTAATATATTTTATATTAAGATTAATCATTAATAATTAAATGCAAGACACACATAATTATTTCAACAATTTAAAAAAAAAATTTTTTTATATCAAATATTATTTATGTTTTAGCGTTAAATAGAGACCAATGCAGACATTAACATTTACATTCAACTGTCTAGGTCATTGTCGTTTAAATATCGATTGAAATATATCTAATTAACATAAAATGAATACGCGATTGAATGAATATGTGCGGAAAGTAGAAAGCATTAAAAAGAACAACGGGCAAAACTATGAAACTACCGGATGTACATAGCTACATTGTAAAAGTACCATTTCGACTTCCGGGACAACTAGCAAAGGGTTGTAATTTTCTCTGCTTCGTTTGAGAACTTTCGAATTAAACGCATGAACTTGAATCACTGACCGCAGATCTGTCCGACAATTACAGGCACGCAAATTGCACGCTTAAGATTTCTGCTAATGCACTTATTCTATTTCATAATTTATTAATTCATTATGTAAAAAATGTTATTAAGGACATTAATTAAATTTTAATTCAATTAAAATTTTTTTATATATTTATATTATATTTTCGACATAAGATAATGTAATTTCTTATAATAATCGTGAAAATAAACATTTAAAGGAAAAGAATTATTCATTATGAAAGTATGTTATTCACTATGAAAAATACAAAAAAGATGTTAGTAGATTGAGATACGCTTTCCACAATAAGATAGTTATTCATTAGGAGAAATAAAAATTCTCACGTTATATTTGTTATACTTAAGGGAACAACGAAAAACTTTCTTTTCTACGTAGAAGCATTATTATTCAGACAAGGCGCTCGGTTTACGTACGTATGTAAAATACGAGTAAAATATCCTTTCGTTGGTCATGAATTTCAATAGGTTCCACTTAAAATTTCCATAAGAATATGTATTTAACGATCCGCGAGAAATTAAAATCCGATAGATAAATTATATCCGAGTGATAAATTATATTTGATCAACTGTGAACAAACATTATGAATAATCTAGCATTTTATACGTTGATTTTCTGCGCCAAGAAAATTAGTAAAAGATCTATTAGAATATTTCGATTATATTACTTTACGTCATACTACAGATCGGAGATTTTATTTTTTTATATTGATAATAATCTCTCTGTCTGCGATATTAATATGCATAGTATAAGTACATGGAAATTATGCATATATCTTACTGCTGTACCGAGTACATCCAAGGAGATATTTGTTCTCATGAATGTCTGCAGCTACTATGTCATGCATAATCCTATTGTGATGCAAAGAATACTATGATGTACAGTTGATTATTGTAATAGAAGCGGACAGTTCCTCCTAGAGTTATCTTGATAGAGGCTTCGTGCATTAGATAGGTAGGTCACAATGTCTCGTAGTTGACCGCGTAGTCACACAGAGAAGTGACCCATTGCTTTCCCTGTAAAAGTGAAGAGTTAAATCAGGTTGACTCGTTTCTCTCCGCTCTGTATGGTCGGGTCCCGACCAATGTCACATCAGTATGTGCGCACCGAGATCGCTTTTACCTTTCCGCGAAGCGAGGGAGTGGGTTGCATAGGGGTATAAAACAGAAAACAGCGCTTTAGCCAGCCAATATGTGTGTAGTTCTATTTTAGTAGACAACAGAGATCTATTAGTTCTCAGTCGATTGACATTGAGTTATTGTCGAGACGCGACCGAAGTCAGCATGCTGCTAGTAAGTAGATATCAGTGTAATCTATAAGTGATGTAGAGAGAATATCTGAATATTACAGAAAGCATTTTAAAAATATATAAAAAATCTTGAAACTAAGATATAACTACATTATCATTTTTTTTTCAATTAAAATCAATTTTTTGAAATAACATAAAATGTGCTGTTATAAAAAAAAACAATTTACAATTAGCTTACAGAAGTTATAATTATGTCAATTTTTCAATGAATTAAAAATTTATATTAAAGTTTAATTACATTAATCAGTTTTTTTACGAAATAATTATTTTTTTTAGAGCGCAGTGATAATTTGTTGTGTGATAGTTGCAAATGCGGAGCCACCTCTTAACAGTACGTATTAATTAATCTTCGTTGTTGCAATGTATATACATTTTCGTAAAATTATTTATGAACATGCAGATAAGGCATTTTTTATAAAATTTGAAACATTAATATTATATTAAAATGAATATTCAAAGTTAAGTTAAATCGCATTTCAATCGAAACATTTTATTGTAGGCTACTCTTATACTGGAGATAGCAATGGGTACGATTATAATACCGTTACTAATAATGGATACTTAAGCTCCAAGGATAGCTATCAAAACAGTGGAAACTTTTACGGTGCTGGAGACACCAGTCATAAATTATCCAACCACATCGGCGGCCATTCATTAATTAATGCCGGTAATCAGGGGAGCATAGGAGGTGACGTAGGAAACAGTTACAAAGGATACTCCGCGAATGAACAGGGGAGTGAATACGGAGGATATTCCAATCCTTACGAGAATTCCGAGAATAGCGACTCTTATACTCGCACCGTGACGTCTACGCCGTTTAGAGGATATTCCGGTTCTAATTCCGGCGAGTCGACTTTTAACGCGTACTCAAGCGGTCCTGCGGCCCACAAAGACACCGATTTTGGCCAGTACGCGTCTAGCAGCAGTAGTAACAGTAAAAGGATACCCGCTTTCCCAGGATATCCCAGACCAATATTAGAAAATTATCCCGAAGGCTCTGATCACAGCAACGTGCAGGGATATCACGGTTCCTCCGGTTCAAGCTATCCCGAGAGTGATCACGCCTTCTCCCCTTATTCTCCGAGCGGTCTGGAATACTCGTTTGGAAAGCAGAAAGACGAGCCGTACAAAGGCGGCAACAAGTACAGCGATGTCTATTCGATACCGTCCGAGACGCGTTACACGCGGGGAAACGCGGGACACGCGAGCCACAATCACGACGTTCCGCCGTACATATCGAGTTCCGGTCCGAGCGGTCACTTGCTCAAGATGCACGGCTCTGGTAATGTCTGGTATTCCTCGGGAAAACCGGGTAAATACAGTTACAAATACTTGTCTCGCTACGCTCCGAATACTGGAGTAACTTACTTGTCGAGAGATCGCGACGGCTATTACACTCCTTTCAATAAAGGCGGTGGGAAACTCATTATAATTAAGGATACTAGACCGAGCTACGCCGGCGGTCATGTTTATTCCGATGAGCCGTCTTACGCCGGCGGTTACAGGAGTAAGAGCGCCGGTTACGCCACTTCACCGAATTTTAGCGGATACAGCGGCAACAGTAGTTACGATGACGGTCCGGCTATGCTTAGGCGATATAGAAACGCCGGTGGACTGCTACTGCAAAAAGCTGTTTATCCTTGATATTATTTAATGCAAAATCGTATTTAAAAGTATAACGTTTAGATGTGATTAAAAATTGTATATATATATATTTATTTTGTAAGTATTTTTTTAATAGTTATTGCGTTATTCGGAATAAAGATGCTGTTTAATGTTTTTAAAGACTGAAGTGGACGTTTCCATTATTTCCCTCTTAATTGTACATACAAATAGAAGTATTCTTGATATGTTAATTGTCAAAATCTCTTTTTCTTTTTGAGGAATTCCGCATTCTCGTTTCATAGAATCAATATTGATTATTGATGGGGTGTGAAATAATTATTGTCATGAATAATACATGTATTTGAGATTTATTTATATCTATTTTTTAGATATTATCGCATACTTTTTTATGAAAATTATTTTGAGTATTTAAGATAAACACTGTAAGAATTCTAAAAGCATTGTATAATAATTTAGTTATTACAATTCTAATTTATAGATAACAAAACGTTTTAATTGCACTTATTATTTAGAATTTTCGATATAATGTTCATGTCTTTGTGGAGGTGTTCTTGATAATTTAGGCTTGGCCAAGAACGCCTCTTCCTCTTTAGCAATTTCGGGGTCATTTTTCCATGAAGCATCTTTAACTATATTGCTATCATGGTTATTAGTATTCCTACAAACAATGCTGTTACTAGATATAGATTTATTTAAAAAATTAGAAACATTATTAAGAAACAACGAACGTATAATGTTTATTCAACATCATAAATCGATCATAAAAATATATAAACTGCCATCACATGACGTATATATGTATAACAATTAAACAATACAAAATACGTGCTTCAACAATACAAATAAATATCCAAAAGCTGTGAGAAGTGCACTGCAACGTGAATACAGTTTTACTCACAGCGACGCTATACTGCTGAATTTCTCCATTTCTATAAAAAAATCAAATATTACTATTTATATTAATAATAATAATTTGACTTTTGGCTAATTATCTTATCTGTTTTTAATTATTTTTATTTTTTACGATAAAAAAATTAATATTTGTAATTCTTATTAAATCGCATATATAAATAGAGATATTCTAAACTGTCGTAAAAACGCGAGATGTTATCTAAATATTTCAATGATTTGGGAATGTGTCATCTAACTGGTTAATATTTATCTAAGTTTCTATCACTTTCGTTTACGTGCTCCAATTTTTCTAAAGTTTTGCATGTGTAGGGAAAGTCGCAAAGCTTTCACTGCATGTCACTTTGAATTATTCTCCTAATGTGCCAAGTTCGTCATCTTTAAGTCAGCGTTTACGAGTCTTATTCTGAATGTACCGTCATCAATCAATAGTTAAACATGTCAAGTACGCACCTGTCTGACCATTCTCGCGACCGGATACAAGAGTCATAGAGGATGTCAATGCGGTTTCACTGCTATCCCTGCAAATTGATTTTTATTAATTACAAAGTAAATTAAATTAAAAACTGTGTCATGTTAGATTTGTCAGTTAATTCCGATTAATTGATAACGCACTGGGAAGTCCGATTGTCATATAAATAAATTGTATCGTTAAGAATTGTCCCTTCAGGAAAAGTTTGCTGAAATATTTTCGTTGCTTTTAAAGGCAAGTTTTCTAATGCTGTTTCTCTTAATTTTCCGTCGTGCAATTTTCCTATATCAATCCTATTTTCCGATCTGTATAATTTTAATCGACCCACTTGTACATCATTATTTATCTCGAATCTTGGATTTACTCTTGTGCTAACGTGATTATCGTGATCAAATTTATATTGATTATAATTTCTCTTGTTGTGCGCGCTTGATGGCCAAACTGTATCTTTTAATGTAGTTAAATATTTATTTTGTCTTTTGTGCAAACGATTTTCGCATTTCGTAATTAGAGAAGAGTCAGTGCCGACAAATCCTTTTGCAATATTTTGAATATTATTTGCGGGAAGCGATTCTTTATTTATGTCATTTGCGATAATTCTTTGTCCCTTAAAAGTATTATCGATATAATATATCCAATTTTGTCACAACAATAAGAATACACCACAAATTTATCATGAATATTATACCTTCAAGAAGGAATCCGATAAATTTGATATTTTTTGTTTAGTAAAGGCTGCTTGTTTAATACAACTTTCTTTCGGCAACATTTTATTTTTCATCTTGACATTATACCTATCATATATCAATTTATTACAATTTATGCCAATAGATGCCAATTCGGTCATTTTCTATGTGTAAAAAATATTGATAAAAGACGTATATTTTGCACGCATAAATACCTTAGCGCAGGATATGATGGATGTTTACTACATAGATGATTATCATATTGATTGTCATAAAAATCGATGGGATCCACTGTAGATATATTTTGTAAAGTTCTATCTGTGAGTATAACATCCTGAGAAGCTTTTAAAGAAATGCTATAACACATTGCGAGTAACGTTTCTCCGTTCAATTCACCGACATAATTTTGCAATGGGTCATTTTCGTCTAATTCATTTTCCAATATATCCAATAGTTCCTACAAGAATTTTTGAATACTCAAATAGTACTCTCATATCATGAAGTCGTATCGTACTTACATTCTCATCATCTCCGGTTTCGTCATTCTGCGGTGTATTAACGTTATCGCTCCTCTGCATCTTCAATATATGATCTAGATGCTTTCTATCGTATCGAAATTATGATAATAAAAGAAATTTATTATATTCTAATTACATTTACAAATATAAGCGTTCCAAACAAGCTTTGAAACAGAGATTTACGGATTCAATAAAAAATTTATTCAAGAAATAAGTAAAAAAAACATGTTAAGCAAATTTCAACAAGATTATTTTCATACAGGAATGATTAATGTCTTTGTCAGAATTTTTATCAAAATATTCACCTCATTTCTGCAGTTGTCTGTTGATTGTTATCAAAATAATCCGATGTATTGTAATGTTTCATTTTCCTCGCTTCTTCATTGATTATAGGATTACTCAAAAAATTATTCAGCGCTCCATTGATGTATGGTAGTGACTAGTAAATGACAAAATATTATATATAAACTTGTTAAACTTTCTAAAATTTTTATTGTGTAAATATTTTTATTAAATATGTATGAAAATTTTACTCACAGCTGCGTGATCTATCGAGAGAAGGATGAGTAAAGTAGAGACGAGTAGAGAAGATATCTTAGATGCTCTGGCTTGCGCTAATCGATGTAACGACAGGTTCATTAAAAGCGCAGTAGCATATTCGAGTCTGTATAAACTTATGATGCGACATTCATCATGTAAGTGATTGATTAACCATTCCAGCAAACCACTTTCTATCATATATATCCGTTGCTGTCTACGTAGAGAGAGTTTCTGTAGCATCGCTATCATCATATCACACGCGAAAGAGTCCATTCCGTCAGTATAATTATTATCGAGACAAGCAAAGGTCTGAAATATGAAACAATTTTTATTAATCATAAGTCTTACAATAATTTATCTTCATAATATTCTAATTAAAATATTTATCAACCAAGATTTTGATTTTATAAATGATATTACAAGAAGAATATGATTCACTGTTAATTTATGTGAAAGCGTACCACGTTTACGACAGTGGATCCGACTGATAGATAATCTCTTCCACATCTAAAAGATGCTAGTGTGTTTAGCAATCGTGCAGTAAACTGCTGTAAAAGATGTCTGGCGTAAGCTTCTCCTGCAGTCAATAAGCATGGTAGGACTAGCTTGCCACTGTCGCTAACAATTTGTCCATGAAGTCCCAGCAAATCGCGATTTATATATTCGTGCAGGACTTCGTCCTGTTCTGCCGGTTGCGCGAGCGTTATTTTCTAAAATATAATAATTATTGAAAGATAGTTAAAAGATATACTGTAGCTTTATATGTCTAAGAAAGATCTTAATACCCAACGTAATGCCTGTAATAGCAATAGCTTCGTCTTCACATCTGCGTTAAGTAAATGTAATTTGATTTTTTTATAATCCAATAATTGTGGAGATATCGATACTGCTGCGATGTCGAACTTAGGCAGAGCAATTGTTTTTACATCGGTATGATCGAGTTGTAATAAGGATGGCTGTTGAAAATAGCAAGATATTAAAATATAAGGAATAGAATAAAAATTTAAAATTATGATATGTAAAAAATAACTTTTTCTAGAACTTTATATCCACATCTTATATATTTTACAAATTTTTCTATAAAAAATTTAATTATTTTTTGTAAGAAATTACTTAGCATTCTGATAATAATTAACATCTTATATGTTGTAATAAAAAATACGTATTAGAATTTCACTTACATAAGAAGTCTCTCTTATATTTTGGTTGAACAAATCTGGAAATATCTTCATGCAAATCTCGAGCGTTTGTTGTATATCAACAGCTTGTCCTTTCACCGAATTCTCCAATGCTGTTGTTAATTCCTCGGCAACGTTTACCAGTTTATGATAATCCGCGTGTAGTCTGTGAAACCTCACTTTCAGTTTCTCATAATTTGTATAAATGCTACATAGCTGAGTTTTGGTTAATGCCAATTCCTGATTGCATTGAACTAGTCTCTTGTCTAGCTTGTGCGCCTTTCGTAAACTATCAATACTTTCTGCCGGATTCAATATACTTCTTCGCGAATCATTGATCGTAATTTGGTCTCCGGTAATGTGTGTTTGTGTACTCCTGTAAATAATAGTACATATATCATTTTTAGTTTCGTACTACATATTTTAGTTTCGTAATATATATTTCTTACTTCGATTTTAAACTGCGACTTATTTTGTGAGAAAAATGCTCTTCGTCATCTTGATCTTCTAGAATTATATATGTAGGCATATCCCTATCGTTTGGTATGATGGGTGTATTACTTTTTGTAATCTTATTTTGTGTCGTAGGAACTTGTATAAAAGTCTGCGATTGTGTTTTATTAGAGTTCACATTATTTAAATCAACCAAATCCTATAAATTTTTCATAGGATTTATTTTCATCCATTGTTTCTTTATAAATGCATGGCACATAAAATCGGAATTATTAAATCATATAGAACTTACTTACTTGTTTATGATTAGTGATAAATAAATTCAAATTTTTTGATAGTTCATCCATCCAAGATTGTTCTAATATTTTGGAGAAAAAATCATTTGCATGAAGATCTTCTATGAACGGTAGTGCATACAACGATTGCAATTCTGTATCGTGTTCTAATTCCTTGCCATCTCCATTTAAGTAATCTTGCAATTGTTTCATGCTATTATTTATATTTTTTTCGATTTCAGTTGTATTGTTCTGTTTGTTATTAATAACATTCTTAGACTAATTGCTTTTAAGATAATTTTACACACATTAAACATTAATTTAATTTTTAACATAACGGTAGAATGTTTAAAATATACAAAAAACTATTTTTTTAAATAGTACATTCAAGAAAGTAAAAATCACCTCCTTGCATTTTTCCAAAATAGGATCTTCTTCCATTGAAGACAATTTCAATGCACTTATTTCTGATGATAGCTCTAATTTACAATAAAAAAATTAAAATATATAAATTATATATGTATTTATTGTATATGAGATAATTTTTTTATTTTTTACCGTGTTCTTCATATTGATGGGTATTTAATTTGCGTTTAGGAAGTATAGCAAAATGCACATGTAAATAAAATGTTAACTTTTTATATTCTTCACACTGTTTAGTGTTGTCAGAAAACAAGTCATTCCACAACTGCAAAATAGCGAAATATCATATTTTACAAAAAAAAATTATACATATTTGTATCTAATACTATTATACAGGTAACTTTTTACCTGGAAAAATACTGAATAATTTCCGATATTGTAATATAGCATTAGTTGAGCATAGGGATTTGTATTGACTCTTAATTTGCATTCCAAATTTTGGAAGCCCATTTTTGAAGCTTCTTGAATTAAAGCTTCAGCAGTACTCTTCAAATTATGATCCAAAAGAAACTGAAGTGCGGAAAAAAATTTATGCATGCATCTTGTTTAAAAAAAATATTAGGCACTTTAAATGCAATGTTAGAGTTATTGCATTAAATCATACCTGGTGAATTTCCTCGATATTTTCAGCCATTCTTCATGAATATCATGCCTTGTCGTATCTAGAAATATTATAATAAACTTTCGTAAAATTTTGCAAATAAATTGTAAGCAATTTCTACATTTTCTTAACTTATTTTGCTTACTTCAATTTGACTATCACTCAATTTGTTTTAGCACAAATTTGATGGGTATTTTTCTTGTAAACATTTATAAGGCGGAATATAATAATTTAGGTCATTAATCGATTTTATGCAAATATATTATTGATCAACATACCGCACTCAACAGCAACGTGTATTCTGATTCTCACAATAAGGCTCTAATATTTACAATTAAAATTCGCGCTCGTTAAATATAAAAGTAAATGTCGAAATACGTTGTTAGAAGCAATTTTTATCACGACATTCCGATATCCGTGGAATAGAATTGACAATTTGCCATCGCCATGTGACCCGCAAAGGAAAACAAACGTTTGACGTTTACGACTGCGTACAACTCAGGCTTCTGCTAGCTGTTATTATCATACATTTTCTTGTACGCAAGCGCACGCATACGTGCGGTTTCTTAGCTGTCACGTTGTTTTCATTACCGTTCATCGACATTTATCGATCTACAAAACTATTTTTTAGAGAAGATTTATAAGACAAACTCGTATTTGTGTTATAATTTAGGAAGATTAGAAAAATGGCTGAAGAGAAGTATACCTTATTGCAAAACGCGGTTGTCTCACAGGTTTATTTTCATTAATTGCTGGTATTATTCAGAGGAAAAGGGGTTATATATGTTTTATTTTTTTTTTAATTTATAAATCACAGATCCCTGATAGTGCATGTTACATACCGAATTTTATCACGGAAGAGGAAGAGAAACAGGTTATGAAGTACATAAATAATGCACCGCAACCAAAATGGACGCAATTGAGTAATCGTAGGACTCAAATTTGGGGTGGCATAATGCTTCCCAAAGGAATGATAGCGGATGAGATTCCTAGTGTGGGTAACTAGGGTGTGAAAGATACTTCAATTGTCTCTCCATTTATCACACTAGAATTTATGTGCGATATTCACAAAAATGATCGTTAAATGGATACATTAATCAACATTAACACCGATACATTTTAGTGGCTGCAAAAATATATTGACAAAGTAACAGCCTTAAATGTCTTTGAAAGTGGAGTGGTGCCTAATCATGTTTTAATTAACGAATATTTGCCTGGACAAGGAATAATGGTATGTTAGATACAGAAGACACACACACAATTGATTTTTTCATTATATATAAATTATATTTATCTACATCAATTAGTAGAAAATGCTGGAATATATACATCTTGGTCTTGTACATGTTGAGCAGTAATGTATGTTTTCATCAGGCACATACAGATGGCTCACTTTTTTATCCCGTTGTAATGACTATCAGTTGTGGTTCCCATACACTCCTTGATTTTTACAAACGGCTCGACACCACAGAGGTAGATACTGCAATGTACAATAAAAAAAAGGTTGCTATAATGCATGCTCACATATATTATCCTTGCAGCAACAACAACCAAAATTAGAATTCAGCTTGCTGCTAGAACGCAGGAGTCTGTTAATTCTACAAAAGGATTTGTACCACAATTATTTGCATTCTATAGCAGAAAGAGACACGGATGATATATCAGGTACTTCAATAAAAAACCTGCACATGTGTATGGAAAAATTTACAGAGGAACAAACGATAAAACGTGGTACTAGATTGTCGCTAACAATTAGACGTGCACAAAACATTAGCAGACTAAAATTAAAAATTCAGTGAAGAATGATACAGAGTTTTGTCAGATATCGCCTTTTCATTATCACCTAACCTACTTACTTTATGAATCTGTGCACATTTGCACATCTGAGTCTTCTGCATCTTTCTCGAGACTTACATCCATTATTTCCTCATCACACTCATCTAACATTCCTTGCAGTGAATGTATAGATGATATTAAAACATGGAATTGTTTACGACGCATTTCTAACTTGTGTTCCAACTGTTCAGACTTTTCCTGCATAGAAAAAATTATTCCATAGTGTAACAAATGGATTATTGTAACAATCTTGCTTGAAAATACGAAGTTATACATATTAATAGTCAAACCTTTAAACTGCCTAACTCTTGGCGTAATGTGGAAAGCTTAATGTCAGTTTCCAATCGATCTGGTTGTTCATTGATGACTTTGGCTAATACATCATATTCAATTCTATTTTTTCTTACACGTTTGGCATCCTGCAATTCTGCTTTTGTTTTCTCTATATCTTCTTTGGCTTTTTCTATTTGTATTTCAATTTCTTTAGACAACTCTTCATAATTCTTCAATTCTTCCTGACTCATATTCGAGACAAGTCTAGATTTTTTCTGTGCAAATTCACACTGTGCTAACTGTGATAGCATTCTTTCATGTAATGTATTATCTGCATCAGAATTGTTGATCCACTTTATGAATGATTTCAATAGCATATTGATCCTACGATCATCTCCTATCCCGTCGCCGTCTATGAGCAGTCGTCGGCGTATTACTTCCTCTGCAAATGTACATAATATTAAAATATGGAATTGTTCTGAATCATATATTATGCTTAAGCTTAATGATGCTCTGAAAGGAAAAAATATGTATATGTATACAATTCAAATCTCTTAATTGCATTTATTGCTCAAATACTAGTTTTATAATTACAGTATTGTTAAAAAATATTATTTACCGTCAGACATGTCGTAATGTGTTTATAACCAAGCAAGCAACATTTAATGATAAATTTTTCTGTATTATCACACAAGAAATAGATTTAGCCTATCATCAAAACATACTACTAAATAGAAGCTTTTGTGAAAATATTTTATTATAAATTAAAGACACTTTCAACACAATTTTAAAAAAATAACGTAATTTGTCGTATTATATGTACGGAATTTACGATAGTTTATGCTACGTTTATGTTACGTTGTTTATGCTGTTTACACACTATCATTGACGCGATACGCCTCGGCAAGAGTGTGGCTGAAATGAGAAACTGTAGGTCAAAACTCGTGTACAGATGGTAATGAATGAAATATGCGGGATAAATGAATGGGAAAAATGGATGCACACAGTAGAAAATGTTAATTTTTTTAGTAAATACGTCTTAAGACAATCAATTGATTAGGATACTTTTAATTTGGATTCAGATTTGTAGTTCGGATTTACAAAATAAATGCGCATTTTCGTTTATTTATTTAATATTATATTTTGACCTTTTCTCTCTTTCCTTCTCTATAACTACATGCAAGCAACGGTCGCTTGCATAATACACAGTTTTTATATTGTAAATACACTTTACATTTCGTAATATCACCATTACAACAATGGTATATATATATATATATATATAAACGCTTGAGAATATATTTCATCTTTTTCATCAAAAAAATACGTCTATATATCTCTCTGGTATCTAGTACATTAAGATCATTGGTCCCACGTGTGGGTCTTCAAATATATAATATTTGCAACATATATTATGACATCTACAACTTAAACATTATGCCTTTTGGGCATTTTAACGTCTCTCTGCTGGTATTTTCTTAACTTAAAAAGAAAAAGAAGGAAAAAAAGATAATCTCCGAAAACAAAAGCCATCTTACATTTGAACGTCTTTCGTAAAGTCAGGTACATCTCAAATAAATGCGATAATGATCATCTTTCTTTTACGGGATAGTAATTTTTTATATTACAAAATGTAATTGTTCGTTGTGATTTCATAGATCTTCAGTTTCATGGACATGTTACTGCTAACAGTAACGTCATTGCTTTTCATAGCATATTCCATCATTATTAGACCAGAAACAAACATTGAGTATAAATAATTAATAACGGTAGAATTGATATATTTATATAATGCTTTAGTGAATTATATTGATTTTTTTTATTAACTGATATTTTTCAACTTTTATAATCATTAAAAATGTTCTTTAAATGTTCAGAAAAAAACTTAAAATATACAGATAAAAATATTTGTATATTTTTCTTTGTTTTATTCTTTTAATTATTTCAAAACGTTGATGGTAATCAATAACGTCAATAATATTTCCTAATGGTTAATAAGAAATATTTCATAGTTAACAAAATTTAATTAATGATTATAACAGTTGATCATAGCAGTTTACTATTAATAACTATCCAATTTTTGTAAATATTTTTACAAATATTAGTTTTGCATATAAAGTGAAAGATTGACTATACAATAAGATCGCGAACGAAATATTCTCGAATAATTCACAACATTGGATCCGAGAACCCAAATAATAAAACAATTGCATATTTTTGAAGAATTTAAATATTATAAATGTTAACTTATGATTTCTTAGTTTATGTGAATAGGAATTTATATATTTTAATCAATTGACGATTAATCTCAATCATAAATGTGCGAAAATTTGCTGATTATACTGATTAACCTTTGATATTTGAAGTTAACACCGTATTAATATTTTATGAAACAAATTATAAATGAGACTTTTATAGAATTCATAAGAAATGAATTACTATCGGTGTCTTGTTTAGCAAAACTGTCACGATATTTCCGGGGATATTCTTAAGGAACTTCATCGTTCGTTTTACGTGGAAGATCATGTATTGCGGCATATAAGTACGCTCTGTGAAATAGCCATGTTACGATTGAGAGGGTTTCTTGCGTCTTCCGAATAGATTGCTCAATACGGAACTTCGCTTGTAATCACGATCTTTTCGATTGCTGGTCGTACTTTGCTCGCTTTCTGATCCGCTTTCTGACGCTCTTCTACCATCCACCACTGTGATGTTCGAAGGAGACGTTTGTGGTGCTGCTGGTGGAGCGACATAAGGCGGCAACGATGCTGGTCTACCGGTGAAAGTATTGTTTTGCTGTTGCATACCCTATAAAAAAAATGCACAATATATTACTTAAAGTTACAAACGAAAAATAGCGATTGACTTGTAATGGCGCATAAGAAATCCTTACAATCGTTGTAATTTTCTTAACACATTCCGTGCCGCGTGCACCATAATAAATTTAAATGGAAAGTCACGTAAAATCAGAACAGTATAGAACGCATTAAATAAATTTAAGTAAAATAATGATTTATGAAATACCTGTCTTCGAAGAAATTTAAAAAGCTAATGATAATTACAGACTTTATTTATAAAGTAAATAAAGGAATAAGAAATTGCTTTTTTTTAAATGATTCGATTAATTTTAAGTAATTTAATTAATTCTGGAAAGTAAATAGCTTACCTGTCTGATATTTACTGGTACATTTCCGTAGGCTGTAACAGAAGAAAATTACAATTAAGAAATTTTTATTTCGTTAAATTGATACCACAAGTTTAGGTATATATTGATTTCACAAGTTTATATATATACATATTATATTCGATTATAAAAACTGTCAGTCATGTAAAATGTAGTATAATTGCATTATGTTAGTTGCATTGGTTAAAAAAGCTCAGATATCAACAGAATGCAATTATTCATCGCATTAAATTATAATTTGTGAAGTGCTTAAAAACACTAAAATCTGTGCGAGAAGTGAAAATCTGTTAGTATCAATATTTTGAGACATATTTTTATCTATCCGTTAAAGTTCTACGTGTGCATAAATGTGATTGGTAATTTTTGCATTGTTTTAGCATTTCGCATTTAGTAGGTTGGATCGCCAAGTTTTGCATTTAGTGAGTTAAAAGAAATTTTTTTACGATTATATGCAGTTGCTTATGTGCAATGAAAACAAAAATGTAGGAGAATTACATGCGACTTTCATATTATTGATCTTTTTGCGCATCGTAGGATGCGAATATTTTTTAAATGACTGACCAGGATCATGATGAGTGTTCCACTGAGCCATTCTGGTTGGCGGAGGGGCACTCGATGGCAATGGAGGTGCTAATTCTATAAAATGATGAATGTTCACATGGCCACATGGTTCACAGGAGTATTAAATAGATTCTTCCTAAAGCTTCTGAGTTTATGAGCTTATGTTAATTAAATAATGATGTTGTACCTTGATGTTGTGGCGAAATATCCACGCTGCTTTGTCGATGCCATACCGGTTCGTTCGATGAATACTGTCCAGATCCGTTGTGATTTAATGTCGCACTACGTTGTTGGTAGACATTGGGTCTTCCTTGTAAATGGTGTTCCACATCTACGTAATTTTATGAAAATTTAATCCATGATCACAGAACGTTGCAGAGATTATAAAACACGAAAACTAAATAGTGCAATGCAAATGTCGTCTTAGAAAAATTTTATTTTATTAATTTTATTGTTTAAATAAATTTTTATTTCGTCAGCATCAACGAATTAAATTTATAATTCGTACCATTGCGTCTATATTGCATATTTTCCGAACTGGGTGATCGCATGGGGACAGGCGGAGGAGCGCCTCGGGGCGGAATGGGCGGTTTGTCACTTCCCAGCATCGCGGAATTCTGTTGATACTGAGCCGCCAGTTGCTCCTGCTGTATCAGCTGATGCTGCTGCTGCTGCGCGAGCAACTGTTGCTGCCTGTGCATTTGCAGAAACTCCGTTTGAGTCTGCGGCTCGGATCTCTGCGACGCCAGGAACGCCTCGTTCTGCGCGTCGTTGCGCCGCTGTTGATTCTGTCGATGCATCTGCAGGAACTCTATCTGCACCGAGCTCGGCGAATGCTGATTCGGCGAGGCGGGATCGCGTCTGATCACGGAATTCTTGCGCTCCATCTCCGGTGTGGAGGTGCGGCTACTTCCGGTCGATATGGTATCATCCGTGTGATCCAACCCTGAGCTCTGCAGTCTCTCCAAACCTTTCTGCTGTGTCTATATTTGGCGAATAGAAAATATATAAATTATTTTAGAATCTAAATTTCTCTCGTAAAATATTGAGAAAATTAAACGGCGCATTGCGAATAATAATAATATATTAATTAATTTGTTAATAAATGTAGCGCAAACACACCTTTTGGGACTCGTCGTAACTTAGGAGCTGCAGACTTGGCGGGAGTTTCGCGTGGAATGAGATTTTGTTAACCCAGTCTTCCATCTCCTCTTGATTCGGTGCTAAAAACAAGAATTCTGAGCCGTCCGTGCACTTCAGCCGGAATACATTCTTCTTCTTCGTGTAATCATCCGCCTTCTCGCATATGGCATTGAAAATAGTTATCGGGGCGGTGGCCGCTTTGCTTAGCGAGAAATCTTCCATATCCTTGAAGAAGCACAGCAGCTGCCCGCATAGTACTGAAATGATCGAGGAATAAAAATTAATTTGCGAGTAAGGAAATTTTGTGTTGCGGTCTAATTTCAGAAATGATTAAGTACTGGTGTAATATTGCTTCCACGATCGCACGGCTGCCTTTTTGCCGGCGCTTTGCAGCTCGTGCTTCCGCTCGAGGAAACCTTGAATTTCGACCGGCCGCAGGGCATCCATATTCTCCATTCGCTGTAGTTTCCTGAAGCTTTGTGTTCTTCGTCTGGTCGTGAAACTCGGAGTTCTCTTCGGTTTCTTCGTATCAACCTTCATGCTTTCGGCCCTCTTGATATCGGAAGTAGCTGAAGAAGTTCGCGTATGATAACACAATCAATCGTACAATTTTTTTAGTAGCAACAAGAGCGCGGAATATCGCCAATTAATTTTTTTGCAACGACATACCTCGTCTTAATTTTTCACCGAACACGTGCGATAAGCCATGAGATTTCTGCGGTATCGCAGGTTCCGCTGTTTCGGAAGCAGTTGCGCCTTTCAGCGGCGATAATCTAATAAACAAGTTAATATCATTTATAAAACGTTAAATTGTTATTTGAAATATTTCAATATTTGGTGCTGAACCTCAATTATTAATTTAAAACACTAAGGTATTTTGATATTTGGTCTTGAATCTCAATTTTTACTCACATATTCACAGATTCATGTTCGTCGACAGAACCATTGATCTCATCGTGTTGCGCGCGATGAGAATTATCCAGCAACCGCCTGCGTTCTTCTTCGCGTTTTCGTTCTTCCGTTATCCTTTGCACTTCTTTGCGTTTTCGCTCCTCGATCCTCTCACGTTCCACACGTTCTTTCTCCGCTTGGCGCGCGGCCATTTCCGCCTCTTGCTGCTTCTGGAAGGCCTTTTCCAGCTGTAAGAATATTTATGACGTAAAACATACGAATCTTCAGCAGTAAAATTGCTAACAATTCTTTCTCTTTATCATTAAATAGTAGATTACCATTGTTATTCGTTTCAGTGCGCTAAATCTCTCTTCCTGCGCCTCTATGGTCTTCTCGAAGTCCTCGTGTTTTCTTATTAATTCCTCCACCTGCGAGAGGCTCTCTCCCAACTTCTCATCGTGCAGCATCGGCTCCCTGCTCAGTATCCAATTCTCCAGGGTTTCCGCGTCTCTCTTGAACAGCTGCGTGTCCAAGTTCTGTTCGTAAATGTGCCTCCTCTGCTGCCACGTATCCTTCAGGATCTGCTGGCGTTGCTGTAGCACCGAGATCTTGTCTTCGATCTCCTTCGCCAAGAAATGCCCTTGCGCGATCAGCTCTTGACCGGTCTTGTAAAACTTTTCGAAGGCCTCCTCCCGCGTGTCGATTTCTGACTTGTATTCGTTGTGTCTGGAAATTAGCGCCTCCGCGCCAGGAACGTCCCGCGCCAACTCCGGGGCCGTCACCTTGGCTACCATCTCGTTGATCCAGGATACCAGTTCTCTGTATTCGCCCAGGTAGGCCTGCAATTGTTCCGCTTGAGCTAGTTTGCTTCGTCTCTGCGCCGCCTTCTCCAGCAGCTCGGCCCAAGCCGCTTGCGCCTCTTGATGCTTCACGTCGATGTGTACACGCGCGTCCGGAAACAGGTCGATCAGTCTGGACGCCTCCTCCATCAGGCACTCCACTTGCTCCTTCACAGCCGCCAAGTCGGTCTCGAAGCCCTGATGTTTCCTCACCAACGCCTGAATTGTCTCTAGATCGTGACCGTAACCATCCGAGCTGAGAGCCGCTTCCTTCTCCTGTATCCAGGAGATGGTCTCGTCGGCTGTCCTGTCGAACATGTGAACCTGTTTGGCGCCAGCTAACGCATCCTGCCGTGCGTGCGCGAGTTCCTTCAAGTCCTCCCACTGTTGCTTCGTCTCGTCGATCTTCAAAAGTATCTTATTCTTCTCGGGATTCTTCTGCTCTATCAGCCTCTGTCCCTCGTCAAGCACAGCCGATACACGTCCCTCGCTGGTCGTTAAGCCGGCTAGGAAATTGTCGAATATTTGGATCAGCAGTTCGACGTGTTCCACGTCACGGCCGTAGTCTTCCGATGCGGCAATCTAGGCGTAATATTTAATAATTAATCTTGATGATTATAGTTATGGAGACATCAAACGTTAGTAAAAAGTTAAATTTATTATTAATTATAAATCTCTGAGCTTACCGTCGTTTGGTCTCCGATCCATTCGATCACTTCGTCTGCCTGTCTAATGAATTTGTAAAACTTTTCGCTTTCCGCCAATCTCTGCAATCGGTACTCTTTCAATTTTTGCAGTTCTCTGAATTTAAACTCGATATCTGTCTGCTTCTGTCCGATATTCTTGCTATCAAAGTGATGCCGTTCGATCAAACCATGTGAAAGCTTTTTCAGATTGTCGACCGTGTTTTCGAAACCGGACAAGTCGCGCTCGATGCTTTCTAGCTTCTTTAACAGAGATTGAACGGAGTCTTCGTCTTTGCCGTAATCGCTTGATGTCAGTTGTGGATGTTTCTCTCTAATCCATTGCTCAGCTTCCGCGGCTTCGGCATAAAACTGAAATTAAATAAGGAACAAATTTTTTTATCTTTATATCACGTCTAAAAATTTTCAAAATTATTAAAATGTATTTAATTTTTATATCAAATTTAATTTACCATTTGTGATTCCACAGCGTCGAGTAATCTCAACTTCCTGACGCTCGCTAGATCTCTCAGATGCGATAATTTCGTTTGCAACTCTTGCGACAGATTTTCAATCTTATCTGCCGCGAAGTGTCCGCTTCTAATCATCACCGTCGCTCTGCTAACGAGAGAAGCTACCACAGGTTCTCTGGACAATAATTCTGCTTCCAGAGCATGGTGTTTCTTTTGCAATCGCTGCACGGTAGTCAGGGAGCTCCCGAGGTCGTTGCTCGCAGCTAAGGGTTCCTTTTCGGACAACCAATGCAACTCGTCCTCGACGTCTCTCGCGAATTGATGCAGTAGCTTCGCGTCTTCCAAATTGTCCCTGCGTATCTGCATCGGTTCCTGAAGACTGTGATACCGGTTGATCGTAACCAGCGCTCTGTCTTGAATCTCGTCGCACATAAAGTGATTCGACTTCTGAAAACCGGCGGCGGTCTCCTTGATGGACTCGCACGCCTCGTTGTGACCGAGCACGTCGTTCTCCAAATTGGTGTGCCTCTTCAGCAAATTCGCCACGCTCGAGAGGTCCTTGCCGTGGTCCTCCGACTGCAACTGAGTCTCCACCTCGTCCATCCACGTTTCGAATTCGTCGAGACTTCGGCCGAACAACAAGGCCTGATACGCGTCGTTCAATCGATTCTTCTTCAGCTCGCTGGTCTCCTGCAGGAGACGCCATTCCGCGTCCAGCTCGTCCAAGCGTTCCTGTATCTCCTTCGAAGCGTAATGATTTTCCTCAATAAGCGCTTCGCCCTCGTTGACCACCGCCGCAACTCTGCCTTTGTTCGCCATCAGTTCACTTTCGAATGCGGCGTGCTTTTGGATCTTGCTTTGCAGATTCGAGGAGTCTCTGTAATTCTCATCGCTCGCCACTTGCTGTTTTTGATGCAGCCAGCCTTCCACCTCGTATATATTCCTAAGAAATTGGTGCAAGTGATGACTCTCTAGGATTTTCCTCCTTCTGGCCGTCGCGCTGTTTTTCAACTTGTCCCTCCTGGTGCAAACCGAGGCGAGTCGCTGCTTTATCGTACTCGCGTCCGCGTGTTCGCGCGATAAGATATCGTTGGCGAACTTCTCGAGCTCTTCGATGCGTCCTAATTGAGACATCAGCATTTTTTCGAACTCTTCGTGTTTACGCAGCAGCGTCTCGACGCCCGATAGCGATTCGCCGAGATCGTCGTTGTTGAGGAACGCTTCCTTTGTCGCCAACCAACTGTCCGCTTGATCAGCTTGCTCCTTGAACAGCTGCAATTGATGAGCCTGGGTTAATTTTTGCCTGCGATCGTCCCAGGCGTTGCCTAAGGTTTGCCTGAGTTCCTCCAGATGATCGAGATTATCCTTGACGTCTTCATCGATCGACACGAGCTTCTGGCCGTGCTCCTTCAGACCCTTAAATGTATCTTGTCGACCGTCGATTTCCGCTTTTCTTTCTTGGTGCAATTCTAGCACGGCCTCGGCTTCCGATATGGTGGTCGGTGGCTCGGATTCGTCCATGCGTTTGATCGTATCAGCCACCCAAATGTCCAATTCGTGCAGGTCAGCTTGGAATTTGTGCAGTGTGTAGGCTTGATTCAAAGCATTGCGCCGGTGTCGAGTCAAACGTTGCAGATCGTCCCAGTTAGATTGCAGCTCGGACAGTATACCGTTTACTTCGTACGCCTTATCTGGATATTTGTGCGACAAGTTTCGCACCTCCGCTTTATGCTCCTAAAAATGAGACACGAAGCGGTGAAATTAAAATAAAATTTTGTTTATACTTGAAATTATATTTAATAACACAAGATCTAAAGTACAAGAATGTGGAATTATTAAAATTTTATTAATCATATCTTGTTATAGAATATATTCAAAATATTATTTCTTTAATAAATAAAATTTTAACAATAAGTACAGAATAACTGTATCACTTTTCGCATTCTAATTATCAAATAATTTACGATTACAATTTTCAGGTAAAATAATTGAAAAATTCTAATGCATTCTTCGCTCACCTTTAATTTGCCTTCGATCGCTGTCATATCTCGCTCCATAGCCTCTTGCTTTCTTTGCAAATGTTCGACAGCAGGTAAATCTTTTCCTATGTCGCTCGTATTCATGGCCATCGATTTCTCGATAACTCTTTGGTTTGTATCGTCTATGTCTCGATTGAACAGATGGATCTCTAACGCACCAGCTAACGTTTCGCGATACGCGCTTAGTGCACCTTGCAAACCTCTCCACTTATTGTTAAAGTTATCGCGCCGTTGCTGAATTGCTTTCGATTCATTATCGCGACCCTATTGTTCAAAACGAATTAAAATAAAATTAATCATTTTTCACTAGTAAAATATATATTATAATATTCACTAGTAATATATATATAATAATGTACGCAAATTCTTAAAATTTCATCTCAATCTTTTTGATATCATTTTTTAAATTTATTTTCTTTTAATTTGTCTTTACAAAATTTTCGAAATTTTGTCTCAATTTTTTTATATTAGTGTGCAAATTCCATGTTTATTTTTTATATTAGAAATCTAATTTTACCTGTTTTATAAGCTTATCCGCCAAAGCGTTGATTGTTTTTATCCTAGAATCGTCCACTCGCATATCGCTGTCTACATCATCGAGCTTCCTCTGAAGACTCAAGCAGTGTTCGTAATCCTTTCCGGTGTCTCCGGCCTGAACCATCATTTCTTTATCTCTGATCCAGGCCTCGATCTTCTCCACCTGATTGTTAAATTCCAAGATATCTTGAGCCTCCTCCAAACCTCTGCCTCGATTTCCAGACTCGAACAGTAATTTTCGCCAAGACGAATGCAAATGTTCCAATTGCTGGCGAATTTCCGCGCTGGCCGGATGTTTCCGTGCCAGTAACGTTTCTCCTTTCGCTATTTTATAAACAAATTTATCGTTATTGTTAATGAATTAATTTTATTTATTCATGTTTAATGCGAGCGAGGAAATAACAGAAACCGGACAATAATTAAACTTGATAAATTACCTTTAATTTCCTCGATTCTGCTTTGATTCGCCGCCAATTCCGCTTGGAACGCCTGATGTTTCTGCAGTTTCTTGATCTTATCCTCCAAGCTAGACACCTCGCCCTTCGACGCTTCCGCTTCCAGCTTCTTCTGCTTCTCGCCTATCCACGACTCGGCCTCGCCCACATCTCTCACAAACTGCGCGTGCAACAGGCTCGCCTCCAGTCTTCTCCTTCGCACGTCGCACAGATCCCGAATTCTCCCGCGTCTCTGTACGACCTCGTTCAGTCGCCGGGCGATCGTCGGCGAATCGAAATGATTCTGCGTCAGTAGCTTGTTTCCGTGCTCCTGCAGCGCCGTCAATTTCTCCTCGTGTGTGACCAGTAGCTTTTCGAACTCGTTGTGCTTCTTCATCTGCGCGTCCACCTCTTCTACCGAAACGCCGAAGTTGTCGCCGCTCAGCGCGGCCTCCTGTGTACTAGACAAGGTGTCGAGCTGCTTGGCGTCACGCAGGAAGAAGTGCAGGTCAATCAATTGGTCCAGATGTATTTTCTTTTTTTGCCAGGCGGTGTGCAGCCTCTGCCGCTCGTCCAGCAATTGATTGCACTTTTCTTCGACTTCCTGAGAAGTACATCGTCGTGATTAACAGATACTCGCGCGAAATAAAACAACTTGACTATTGATGATGATAAGTGGACTCACTATAGCGGCGTAGTGACCAGTTTGCACCATGGCTTCGCCTAGGTCGAGCACCGAGCTAAAGCTATCCTCCCTCGCTTCGATTTCTCCTTTCAAAGCCTCGTGCTCTGCCTTCAAAATCTGCGCACTGGCCGCATCGCGAACTTTGTCCTCCGTCGACATTGTAGCGCGCAGTCCAGCGGCCCAGTTCATTAAATCTCTGACCTAAATATTTCCCTCGTTAGAAATAATGTAAATTGTTACAATATGAATTGTAAAAGATATAATTTACCTGAGTGAGGAATCGCTGCAAGTCGCAGCTAGCGTGCAACTGATCCCTTCGATGAGCGGATCTTTCCTTCAACTCTTCCCAATGAGCGACAACAATCTGTTGCTGCTGATCGATGTGCACCGCATTATTGCCCGGATAATGAGCTTGTAATCTGGACGCATCCTCCACTAAAACTTGCAGCTGAGCCTCTAAAGCGACCAGATCGTTCTCAAATCCCTCGTGACGCCTGATCAACGCTAGAACGGAATTTAAATCGCGACCCAGGTCCTCTGGCAAAGCAGCCTCTTTCTCTTGTATCCGCGATAGCGCTTCCGCCACGTCACGATGGAACCGATGAATCTCTCCCGCCGCTTGTAATCGTTGCTCGCGATTTCGAATGAGACCCAATAGATGCTGCCACGATTCCCTAAATCGGTAAATAAAAGTATATTAGAATCATTTATTTTATTATTTTCTTTGAAAGTTGTATACAATATTTTATTTGGAGAAACTCGTCAGACAAATAAGTTTATTGTTTATAATACATTAGATAATTATAATATTAATAAACATGCAAAAATTGCAAAATTTTTATTAATTTACATATAATAATTGAAAGATTTTAAAAGTTTTGAGAACGTTTAAGAACCAAAGAGTTCCAAGAAAGAATATGATAAATTTAGAGATATAAGATTGCAAAATTTTGAACAATTAAAAATTCATGCACACAAATGTGAAAGATGGAGAAGTGTGATACTCGTTCAAACTGTGATACGATTTATCAGTATATGCGTTAGTTCGAGCAACGACGCATGTACTTACTTCATCACCGTATGTTGATTTTCTACTTGACGCACCGGATCGTCTTCATCGGATCTGCATGAATGTGTGCATAGAAGAAATGTTAGTGACCCAACACCAAAAAAAAAAGAAAAAGAATAGAAATACATAGATCTATATATTACAAAATACGATAACTCGCTACGATCACATAATATGATGACTACGATATGAATTTTTATAAACTATATTAAGAAAGAAAGAGAAAGATATATATTAATTTGTACCAATCACACCATCTTGTTAATCTACTATGTGTGAGTAGTGCGAAAAAGATATTCCAAGAGTTGATAAAAAATATTAGCAAAGCAGGAATAAAGAAATAACAAAACAGTTTTTATCTATCGGCAGCCAAAGATTTACCCTAATTGTTCCTGACGTTTTTCGATGTCCTGAATGTAAGGACTTTCATTTGCGATCAGTTTTCTGGCCAGTTCTTCGCACTGATTAAACCTCTCCGATCCGGCTTCTATTCGATGCTTGAAATCGTTGAATTTCGTTTGCAGTAGTAGAAGATGCTCGTAATCCTGCCCGTAGTCTTCCGACGCGGCTGCTTGCTCTTGCTCCTTGATCCACTGCTCCAGCTCTCTGCTTTCTAGGAAATATTCGTGGCGATACATGCTTTCCATTAGACGTTGCTGCCTCACGGTAGCCAGTCGTTGCAAGGCGCGAATTTGTTGAACGATCGCTTGCTGCTTGTTAGCTATCGCCTTGCTGTCGGGATGCTTCGAGTTTATCATCGTGGATGCGGTATGTCCCATTTCTGTCACGATGCCGTTGTACGTGTCTAATTCGAGCTCAACAGCCTGTAAATTATAAACCATAATTAAGCTAACTATGAACATTTTTATCGCATGTTGAAACTTGACGGAACATTAGAATTTGAATTGTTTCTTTAATATCACATTTTATATATATACATATCTTTACACTATAAATGCATACCTTGTGTTTCGTCAATAATTTCGTAGCGGCATCGCGATCCCTGCCGTAATCGGTGGAGCTCAGAACATCGTTCTTCTCGTTCAGCCAGCTCTCGACTTCGCCGGCTTCGAAGAAGAATTCTTGCGCTCTCAGGGACAAGTCTAGAGCTTTGTTGCGCTCACCCGCTTTGTCTTGCAAGTCTCTCCACGCGTCATCCAGAATGTCGCATAGTTCTTGAATCTGGTTAAATCACCAATGCAATCAATTATTTATTGCCGTCTAATTAAGCAATCTTTCTTATTATATCTTCAACATATTACTCGCGCGAAACAAATACGGATTAATTTATTAAATCCATTATCGGTGACGTTGTTTTTAAAAGCATTGTTTTGATTTCAGCAATGGAATATCAACGACACTGCCCAGAATTCGATTACTGTGGTAGAAATATCAGCTTGTTTGCATGCAATAACATATACTTCTACTTTATTTCTAACAGTAAAATCGAAAAGCTTATTGCAACTAAAATTGTATAAATCTATTACAGTGTTTGAGCCTACACTCCTATAACTTGAAGTAGATATTAGCTGCAAAATAAGTGAGATTTTATTAAGTCAAATAAGAAATTATCGAAATACTCGTTCAATTTGTATTCCTGTATAAAAAAAGAACACATTTTAATATGAGCGACTCTCGATGCACGATACCAATAAATTGAACTGGTAAATCTTTATTATGTATTATATTATATACAAAATTTTAAAATATATCAATAATATTTTGCAACATAATTTTAAATTTTGTTAAAAGTCTCTTAAAAAGTGTTTGTGTATCAAGAGTCAATAACATAAAGAACAGCTTACGTAATTTTAGAGATTACGCTACAAAAATACAACTGTTAACACCCTATAAAAACAATAATTTGTTATAATACTCGTGAAATCAAGTTTGCTAGTAATTATCATTAACACAGAAAAGCGACAGACATTCGTGATATAATATTTCCCATGCATTTGTGCGTCCGTCTTACCTCCGCAGACCCAGTACCCTTCGAAACGCTCCAGCTGTGCAAAAATTATAAATCTCTTACTCCAATTTCGCGTCAGCCGATCGTCGTGCGGATCCACGAGAAAAATAAAAAACATTCGGCAAAGACCTTCTCGACGTTTTACCTTTTTCTTTTCCGGATGGGCCTGATCGATGAGCGTCTGCCCGGAAGCCAGAGTTTTGTCTATCATAGGCTGGTGACCGGCGATCTCCGCTTCCAGCTTCTTGTGTTTCTTGTGCAAGGTCTGAGCCTGATGTAGATTCTGTCCAAGCGTCGTTGAAGACGCCTGCGGCAAGTGATCCTTGATCCACTGCAACTCCGCGTCCAATTCAAAGCCGAATTTGTGGAAGCGCAGGCTCTCCTCCAGCGCTTCTCTGCGTCTCTTAGCTGGTTCCTTTAAGCTGCGGAATCTGCCAACACGATAAACTTCGTGTATTAACCACATACATCTCTATTATCTCATACATTTTTATCTCAGCAATTTATTATAATAGTTTTAGTATTGAATTAATTTTGCCAGATAAAAAAGTAATGTGTTTAAATATTATACATACTTTCTCTGCGTGGCTTGACTGGTCTTCAAGATATTCGCCGCATCGAAATGACCCTCGTGCGCCATCTCTTGACCCATGGCCACGAGGTCGCCCACCTTCTGTTCCCACTGACACATATCGCTTTCGAGGGTTTGATGTTTCTTCAACAGCTCCTTGCAGCTGCGAAGATCTGTGCCTACTTGCTTGCTCTGTAAACAGCTCTCTATTTCCTCCAATTTTAATCTGGCGTCTTCCATGGTGCGATTGTATCCATGTTGCGAAGCGGCTTGTCGCAGTCTGCGACCTTTTTCGAGTGATAACGCCACCAACCGATCCCATTGATCATTTAGGTCCTTCAAAGTCTCTCCCACATCGTCGGATCTGTAATTTTCTTCGGATATCAGCGCCTTGCCCGCCTTGTTAACCGCTCTCAATTGTCCTTCGTTGGCGCGCAGTTCGCGTTCGAAAGCTTCATGCTTCTGCAGCTTACGTTCGAGATTGTTCAAATCGCGATAGCTTTCGTCGCCCGCAGTCTTCATTTTGTCGCCCAACCAGTCGCGCAAATCGTCTACTTCAGCCGAGAATTGCTGATAATGTTCGGACGCCTTCAAGGCTGCTCTTCGGCGTTGAGCGGCCTCTTTCACTGCCATGCGACGGGCTAATACTTGGTTTCTCCTTTCGTTGATGCTGGATATAAATCAGATTTATATAAGTAATGCGATAAAATTTCCTAACATTACATTTAAGAAAGTTACGATTAAGATCACGATTTTTTAATTAGGTACAATTTTATCTTAGTTTCTTAATTTTATAAGAATCAACGTTATATTTATTTTTAATTAAATAAAAATTTTCTTTTTTCTATACTTACTAATCTTTATCATAATGATTTTGAGCAATTAATTTATCTGCAGTGTCGCTGAACGCCTTCAGTCTGTCATCCTGCGCGTGAAGAGTATTCTCGAATTTTTCATGTTGTTTCAATAGAGCCTCGACGTCATCCAAAGATTCGCCTAAATCAGTAAACTCGAGGAAAGCCTCATGAGAACTGGTGGTAGCTTCGATCTGATCGGCCTCCCGATTAAATTGTTGCAGCTCTAGACATTGTCGTAGCCATTCCTCTTTCGTCATCCAGTTAGCTGTTACCGCTGGATACAGTCCGTTCAATTTATCCAGACGTTCGCGTACGTCCGCCAAAGTTTGATTACGACGCAACAGTTCTCGGCCGAGATCCTCAACCTCGCGGAATCTGCAAAAGTGTATAAAAAACTTAGAAAAATTGCAACTATTAATTATTTGTGTGATATTATTTACGAATTCGATAATAATGTTGCCAAAGAAATTATTTTAACAAACTCCAAATGAATTAATATCTACAAAACATTCTGTTCATAAAAGAATTTTATAAAAATTTTTCGATATAAAGAATTAATTGTGAAAAATATCGACAGTCACGTACTCGTCTTCTTTGGTTCGTATTTCCTCTCCGAGCTCCATGTGCTGCTTCTTAAGTTGCTCGGCCGTGGCGACGTCCCTTACCGGTTCCTCGGCTTTGATCGTCTCTTGTATATCAGTAGCCCAGTTAATCAGATTCTTCGAGCTGTTCATGAATATCTGCTGGCCGACCGCGTCCTCCAAGCGGGATCGACGCTCCTTGGCTTTCGTTTGCACTTTGTTCCAGAGATCCTTGATCTCGTTTTGTCTCGCGTTGACATTGTCACATTCGTGCGGATACGAATTCTTGACGCTGTTGGCTAACAGATTCACTTTTCGCACCTGTGGAAAGTAAAAATTATGATAATTGAGAATTATTGAGATTTATGTTATTTATCATCCGACGCGAAATACTGAAATCCTACCTTTTCTTCGACCGGCGCCAATTCTCGCTCCAAATGTTGATGCCTCCTCTGCAAAGCTTGCACGGTTTTCAAGTCAGGTCCTAATTCCGCTGTGTCTAATTGAGTGATCTTCTCCAACATCCAATCGTGCGCCTCGTCGCAGGTTCTGTTGAACAATTCGACGCTGGACGCGCCTTCCAAGCTCTTCTCCTTCTGCGTCTTCAGCCAGTTCAGATGGTCCCACAGCTGATGTATGTGCTTCTGCCTGGCCTTGACCTTGTCGAGCTGGCTGTGGCCTTGTCGAACGAATTCATTCACCGCTGTGTCTATCGCCTCCACTCGCTTGCCGGAGGCCGACAGATCCGTCAGGAACTTCTCGTACTTCCTTCTCGCCGTCTCGACGTTATCGCGAGGATCTTCGACTCGTAGCATCTTCTCCTTGTCCTTGATCCACTTCTCAAAGTCGTCGCACTCCCGGTAGAAGCCGTATAATCTGATAGCGTCCTCCAACAACGCGTGACGCTTCACGGCGAGTTCCTGCAGTTCGCTGTAAGTTTCGTTGATCTTCTTCTGCCGCTTCTCCACGCTGTCGCCGTCGCTCACCGCCTTCCGCTTGATTGGTTTAACGGTGGACTTGATTGATTTTAGTCGCCTCACCGGCACAATCTGCTTCACCATCTTCGTTTTCTTCACTCGCTGCGTCACCTTCACTTTCTCAGGTCTGCGCACTTGGACTTGCACGACCTTCGGTTCAATCTCGCGGACGTAGTTAGCCGGCACGAATCCATCCGTACCGTCGACCTTCCTGACACTCCACCAGTCAGGATTCGTCTTGTTCAGCAGGAACATCACCTCACCCTTCACCATGTGCATTCCTTGGCCGCTGAACGGATAGAGACTCTTCACCTGCGGCACCAATCTGTCCTCCTGAACGGTTTTCGGCTCCAGTCGTTCGACAACTTCGTCCACCCACTCGTCCTGTGGCACGAGCCTGATTTCTTTGCTCCACTCCTCCTGCTCCAGCTCGGCCACCGGTTCGGGATCGGCGGACAACTCCAGAGTGGAGATACCAGACTTGATTAGCTTCTCCGCCTGCGTGTTCAACGATTGCACGTCACCTTTGTAGGCATTCAGCTCGCCCTCCAGGTCTTTGTGCCTCTGCAGCAAGGCCTGAGCACTAGGTTCGTCCACGCCGTAGTCCTCCGAAGCGACCAGTGCCATCTTCTCGTTCATCCACGAGTCCGCCTCGTTCGCGTCGGCGTAGAACTGGAACGCTTCGGCCGCGTCGTCGAGTTGCTTTTTCCTCAACGCCGCTAGTTCTTCCAGGACTCTCCAGTGCTCCTGCAGCGAGTCTATTCGGTTTTGTATTTCCAATGCCGACGGGTGTTTGTCGGTTATCAGCTTCCTACCGGCGTCGCACAGCTGCTCCGATTTCGGCCTGCGCACCTTTATCTCATCCTGCAGCGCCTTGTGCTTCTGCTGCAGCGAGATCACGGCGCGCAGATCCTTCGCGGAAATGCCAGCTTTGCATATCCGCTGCTTCTCCACCAGCCACGATTCCTCGTCCTCGTGATCCTGAAGGAAATGGAAAAAATTCCTGGCGTCCTCTAGCCGCGCTTTGCGCTCCTTGCTGTTCTCCACCAGCTCGTCGTAGGCGCCATTCAATAGTTCCAGTTTCTGCTGCAGCAACGGCGCTTCCTTGCTCTGCGGCTGCGTCAGATGCTGAGCAGCCTGTCTACCGAGTCGCCTCTGGCTCTCGCCAAGAGCCGTCACCTGCAGTTCCTGAAGACTGTGCTTCTGCAATAGGTCTTCGACGCCCAGTAGGTGCGGGCCTACATCGGTGCTCTGGAAATTCAGCTGTAGCTCCTGAACGGAAGCGAGCGTAGTGTCGATTTCTCTCATCAAGCTCATAAGTGAACTAAGCGCGACAAGATTGGACTTGTGATGATCTAGCAGAGCTAACAGTTCCCTCCATCTCTGCAACACCTCCTGTTCCCGATTGCGTACCCGCTCGAGGCCGTGATAATTCTCCCGCACCAGTTCTTCGGACATGTTCGTTAGATCGTGAAAGCGCTCCTCGCGCGCCAAGATATCGGCGCTGATAGCCTCGTGCTTCTTCACTGTAGCATCCACCTGCGCGAGATTGCTACCGTACCTCGGATCCGTCAGCACCTGGATCATCTCCTTCAGGTAGCCCTCTCTGAGCACGCTTTTTCGCTCGAACTTGTAGTTCAGCTGCTCGAGCCTTTCCTGTCGCAACAGCTCGGTCCTCAGAGCAACTTCGCGACGATGTTCCGCTCTTTCCAATTCCACCCAGTTTCTCTCAATGTCATGGATCAGCTGGCCCTCTTGCGGCGTGAACGCCGGCTGATTTAGGGATTTCAGTCTGGTATTTATGTGGAAGTACAGCGCCTCTATCTCGGACCGTTCTTTGTACTTCGGTGGTTTTTCGACTGTCCGGTACTGCTTGAAAGCCAAGAGTTCCCGTTGGATACCTTCAAGCGAGTTCGGAAAGCTACGACTCTCCAAGACTTCGATCTTCATCTTGATCCACTCTAGCAGATCGCTCGTCAGTTTCTCATAGTGAATCTTCATCTTATCAGCGTCCATCATCTGGCCAACAATCTATGAACAAGAGAAAAAATTAAACTTTGTAATTAAGTGTCAATTAATTAAATTTGATTTAACCGATTCTTACATTCCTGAATTGCTTGTCAGTTAATATTTGTATTCGAAAATATGTAGATATTTAAATTCTTATATTCGCGGAGAGACGTGAGATATTTAAATTAAAAAAAAAAATTCGAGATTCTTGAATCTATATTAAAATTCCAGATCTTTTGATTTCAGTGCGATATTAAAAGATTATCAGAGAGGATCTCGGATTTTTAAATTCACATCAGGATTTTTAAGGTACGCTATTTTTCATACATTTGCTATTCTCTTGCCGCTTTTTATCTCATTCTTCATCCTGGCGAACGTGTGATAATAAGACGCGACGTAGGTGATAATAGACTTTTCGTCGGGCCTGGCCGTGTCCACGTCCTCCGCATCCAAGAGCCGTGGAATGCCGAGCTCCGAATTAGCAACGTCGAAGGCATAATTGAGATTATCGATGTTCTTGTTTTGTTGCAATTCTGACCAATTGACCAAGTCCGGTCTGTGAGCATGTATGAGAGCGTTGAAGCCAAGGCCGCTTCTCCAGGATCCTATTTGTAAACAATATTTTAGATATTTCAAACTCCTCTTATATCTCTGTACATAGTTGACAAAAATTCCTATGAGAAATTATTCAATTCTTATTTACAAGCCATCATTTCTAACATATAAAATGATTTTTTAAACTTGCAAATGTACGCGGGATAACGTGGGCGAATATATGCGTGCAGGATTATGCTAAATATTTTTCACATCTATAAATATCATCGGGTGCGACACTCGAAGAACTTGAATATTCATGCTACGTAATCGCATAAAGAATTCGACTCACCGGTAAAGTCCTGAATGTTGACGCCGGGATAGCCGTTTGTCTTTCTCTGGCACCAAAGTAGTAGAGCATCTTTGGCAGACTTCTTCTCGCTGCTGTCGTTTTCTTCGTCCACGTCGATTTCGATCTCCTGAATTTGGAACCTCAAAATAATGGTCCAGATCAGACCAAGGATCAGTCTGGGATTACCGTCTACGATATCCTCCGCACCGATACTCTCCAGACGAACCTGGAGTGAAAATAACGTTTGAGATTAGAACATTTAAGAGAACGGATAATAAATTAACTTTTTATTGAACAAGTGTGTGGAAAAATATTTTATCGTCAAATAATATGTCTTAATAATCTCAATTATACAAACACACTTTTCAGAAGCCGATAAAATGATGTTTTGTCAATTAATTAATTTAAAATATACGTTTCTCGTCATATTTTATGACATTGCAATCTTTCATGTACGCGAAACATTCCTGGAATTTCTTCAAATTTAGAACTTCTTAATTTTTTCTTTCTCTAACTTTCTTTTCCTCTCTTCGAAACTCCTCTCACGACGCCTATGCTGACACAGTAGCGTTTCTAAGTTTCTCCACTTAGAACCTTGCCATTCCAATGTGCTGCGCGATAAAATTTCGCGTAAAGTTCTTTTGCGAAATTCGTCATTTAGTAAACGCGGTCGTAGAATTTATGCGACGGTACGTGCCGTTCGCACAATTATTCACATTCCGAACTATTACACGTCCGTGCACGGTCGGCACAACGTTCGATGTGTTGCGTAAATAACAAGTCTTAATAAATGAGTAATTCATACGAATATAAAAGACGGTGCGTAATCGCGATGTCGAGTGTCACGGATTCTGAATAATCAAGAACAGCAAAACGCTGCGTTGTAATGACAAGATTGTAAAGTGCTACCGGGAACAACATAATATTGCAGATCTGAGAAAGCCGGTAGACACGTTTGCGCCGTCTTCATAGCTCTAATTAACAGCGTGTAGCTCGTTATTTCTTCCGTTGATTGTCTTCAATATATGGATATGTTCGCCTCGTTAATTTTCTAAAAAAAGATATATTTTTCTAAAAATCACACGCTTATAAACGATTGAATCGAAATCTCAAAACGTCGAAATGTATTAATTTTATAAAACGTGTGAATTTTCACAGCAATTTAGCGGATAATTGGACGTTATTGTACATGATCGCGCGCAGAGGTAGGAATACAAACAGTGAGGCACTTAATACCACTCGCGAGGTTCCTGTTAATTTTATTTAAGTCATGGACACTACGGTTATGAAATTTATTTCGGACCATTAATTTTGAGGCGCGTAAGATCCCGTCGAGAGGGCCGACTCGGCGGAAGTAATTATGCGACCGCGCCGTGTAATGAATTACAACCGCGATGCGATTTAATAATTGCATTTTATTTCGCGTGATCGAAGACGAGCGCATGCGGAACGGGCGGAGAAACTTTTTTGGCCTCTTTCCTCCGGACACGGCCTGCTTTCGTGTTTTACGGCTTCGCGTCACGTAATTATTCAAAGTAATAAAGCTGGCCGTTACATTCAATCTCTAAAGAACGATCTCTTCGATACATAATAATTGTCGCGTTCGGGTAAAATCCAGTTCAATGACATGCAAGGCGATTTATTACTCGTTAATCACACCCCAATAGAGAAATTATGTAAGAAACAGGCTGTAAACGTACTGTAAAAGGATATGTTTTAATTTAGGCACTGGCGAAGGTCCCTCAAAGATAATTGATGGTTTGAGTAGTCGTGAATCTCCTTATGTCAGCAAAATTATACTCGTAGAAATCGCCGATGGCGACAGTCTGCCGTGTGTATCACTACATTACGGTTTACTCAGCCGTAATGGGGTCTTATTGATAACGCAACATTTGTTACTCCCAATCGGCAGCGGTGGCAGCCATGAGTGCCAATCGCTATTAATAATCTCTTGTCGATGGTGAAAGTAGCGCGTTAGATCATCGGGCATCTACATACGTGTCGATCGCGAATAATTCCGAGGTGATAGTCAATGCGTTTTTAATGATCGCCTTGACGCTCGCGGATGTAAGCTCTGATGATATAATTATAGGTATCACGCTCCTACACGCGTGGGAAACGTATATGAAGATTAGCAGACTGTTCCTGTAAGTGCTCGCTTCTAGGAAAGAATTACTTTTTATAGCAGTTAAAAAAGCGCGATGTCAGGACCCCATCAAAATTCACTTGAACTCCATGTTTTTTTTTCAAAGTTCGAAATAGTTTGCAAATTTGCATTATTTGATTAATTTTAAACAAAGAATATTTTGACTCAGGATATTTGATTTTAGAATTCAACAAATTTTGAGAGAAAGTGATATATTTATAAACATTTTTATGAATAAAATATTGGGCTCTATACTAAATATTATATACACAATATGATTATAATTTGCATTACAACAATATAAAACTTTCATATTAGAACGCTTACTACAAGATTAAATATTCCTTAATGTTGCAGGAAGCGTGGACGTCTCATGAGACAAATTACACAGCTTATTGGACTGCTGAAAAGGGTGAGTTCTCAATTTTATATTCCACGCTCGGTCCGTTTGTTTGACCGAGTGTTAGCCGCGAAGTATCGGCAGTCCTTTTCACGCGCTTCTCGTCACGCTATTATTGTTAATCGCGGGGCGCCGTCGACGGACGTTCCTCGCGCGCGGCTGGAATGCCGTCCGATCACTTGTACCGGGGGTCTATCAAGGCCGCTGGGAAATGGAAATTATGGCGTTTGCCAGCCGGGGGACGGCTGACAGCTCACGGAATCCAAAACAAAGAGGACGCGTAGCGCGTCACCGTTAAACGCCGGCAACGTCGTCGGACAAAGTTAACGAGCCGAGTCTGGCCAAGTGCTGCCGAGATCTCAACGTCATCTTGGCCGGCCAGACCGGACTTCCTCGTGTCCCGCAGGCTTTCAGTCACGTGCTCGCTCCGGCTTATTTCGCGGCGACCGAGCGCCAGATGCTTCGTCGGGTGCGGTCACCGCTCTGGGCTCGGTTAGTGTTAAATACATTTTATACTTTCTTTTTGTTTCGTTTCCACGATTGTAGATAAGGATGTGAAAGATTAAGTTTAACTGGACTGTCGGCGAAAGCTCAATCTCGCGTTTAATCTCAACGAGGTCTGCCGTAAATATTATTACACGCGGAAACGAGATTAGAATTTGTGTTACTTGCGTTGAATTATACTTAACATATTTTTTATTTCAAAATTAAATCTTTTACATTCTTTGCTCTTATAATGTAAAAATTCAGTATATTTTTTTAGACATTTTAATGAACTTATTTCTATCAGAATCAATTTATAATGAAAATAGTGTCAACTTTTACGTTAAATTTGATGTATTAGTTGTCTCATAGTTGTCTAATTATTCAGATCGAGGAAGCACATTTCCGCCGTTTCATTCTTAATAACCACTGTTATTCAAGATAAATACGCTCCGCGCTTTCTCAAAGGCGTATTCACATGCGCTTCTCTCTCAGCGAGACAGTCTCTTTTGACGAGACAAATAGCGAACGAGACGCATTAGGCTAAGCAGCCGCACGGAGTGTCGCAGACGATTTATCGTACCGCGAAAAGAAATCCCTGTCCCTTCCGACATGATTCATCGCGTACGCGATAACGGTATACACGACTAATGATCTACTTAGGTTAAACCGCGTGGCGAGAACGCGAGGGCAAGCGCATTCCCGCTGTCATCGTGCAATTTGCAGCTACTGCGCGCATTATGCACCTCGTCCGTAATAACACCGAGCGGATAATATATTTACGAGCGGTATCCAAGTCGATAATGATAGACCGAGAGGCTCCGCATAATAACGTGCGACAAATACGCCGACACGGCGCACCGGTAGCTAGCCCGATCAGCTGATTGCGTTTCCGCCGGCGAACGTGTCATTAACTCTGGTATTCTGACGCCAATGTCCAGCGCAGTGACAGGATTGATACGGAATCGACGTTTCCTAATGCGACTTCTTCGTCGCGTTTTTATCTTGTCGGCGATATAGACGCGATCCGTTAGACAGCGGAGGTGGGGGGCATCGGCGAGGAGGCATTAAGGTGGAGGGGGGAGGGCAATAAGAGACGGGAGACACCTTCGAATTTTTCGCCCCGTCAGAGCGCGTGCACTCACGTTGCGCGCCGAGTTTCAGGCGACGTATGAATAATGAATGAGCGCCGCGGCTGCATAGTAAAGCGCCGGGGAACGCGGTACTGTTATGCGTCGTCGGCTAAAATGCAGGGTACGGTTAAAAGTCGTGCAAGGAGACACGCGGCGTCGCGATAAGGGGCTACGACGTTAAATAACTCAACTGGCCGGTCGGAGGCCCCCGCTCGACGACGGCGATCGCTTTTTGCGCGCTGGCCCGACCGCAATTTGCGCGCGGTTTTAAAGCGCCTCGAGCGTCTCTTGTACGCCTCCCCTAATTGACGTATTGTGTTGAAGCGTGCCCGATCGAGTCGATTAAATTTCCGTGCCTCGACCCCGTCGTCGCCGCCGATGAAATACGATCGTCTCAATTGATAATTGCATAATACGCGAGCTGGGCATTTTGCGCGAGAGAGTGTCAAGTTGTTAACGCTACTCGGCGCCGCGAAGGGTGGTTTCGCTTTTGTTGCGAGAAAATTCACCGGAAAGATAATTTAATCCTACATTTCAGTGAAAAAAAATTTTCAAAATTTCCATCGGCTTAATTTCAAATGAACTGTGATGCGAACTTGATGTCACAATTTTCCATAACGATAAAAATAGTAATCGTTGTGTTAGTTTCGGTCGGGAATAATTTTTTGTTCGAAGAGTAAAACAAGAACGGGAAGAACTTTGTGTTGCGTACTCCGATTCACAGTTATTCGCGGAAGAAAATTGTGAATTTATCGACATCATTCGCGACGGAGAATGCATTCACGGCGCGATTCGATGCGAGCTAATGGAAATATTCGCGGGAATTAATTTCGCGAGAGGGGTTGCGGTAAACGCGATCGGCCGTGCCGGGTAAGGTTCGTAAAGTCGACGGAATGGATATAGCAATTCCAATGCATTTAGCGCGGAATGCGACTCCTACGTACGGACATTCACTGGATCGTTGCGCCGTAGGTACCCGCTCGTGCTTATTTCTCGAAGACCATTAACTGCACCGTGAAAAGCGCAACGGCCTGCATTCATAAAATAGTGCCGTTAAACTTAAC